AGATCTCATTAGTGGAACTCGTAGATACTTTGGATGTATACTCAGCGCTATACGGAAAGGTTGGAATGCTAATCTGAAACGTAGATTTCCTGCCTATTTTTCAAAGTGAGATGAACTATCCGCTACTCCTGATGGTATTTTGTGTTTAAATGATCGTGCTGTAATTCCTTCATCATTGCGTAAATCTGTTCTTGAAGATCTTCATAGTGGTCATTTAGGTGTTGAGAAAATGAAGTCCTTGGCAAGGCTCTTATGTTGGTGGCCAGAGATAAATGCAGATACATGTCGTACGACAAACAATTGTGAGAAATGTCATCAGTTGAAAAATCATCCTTCGAAGTGGACTACATGGCCAGTATCGTCTGAGGCCTGGCAGAGAATTCATGCTGACTATTGTGGTCCATTTCTTGGCAAATACTATGCACTTGTAGTCATTGATTCTTTTTCAAAGTGGCCTGAAATTTTTTCACAACTTCACCGAATTCTGACTTCACAATCCAAGCATTAAGAAAAGTGTTTAATCGAGAAGGGGTTCCTATGGTGTTAGTGACTGATAATGGTTCTCGCTTCGCTGCAGATGCAGTCACTACTTGGTTGAACGGTATAGGGTGCAAACATCTGTTTACTGCTCCCAGATATCCGTGTTCTAATGGCCAGGCAGAGAATTTTGTCAGGACATTTAAGACTGATATTGATTCCATAGCCGCCTCATCATTTAATGAGCTGGAGAGGGGAGTAGATTCCTTTCTAATGCAATATAGAAATGCCAGACATTCGGTGACGAAGGATACTACAGCGAAGCTATTGAAAGGAAGAATTCTTTGGTCGAATATGAGATGTTTGGAGTCTGCAGAAGTTACATATTATCGGAGAAATGATCTTCGACCATCTACGGGTATTGTTCTGAAAAATGTCGAAAAAACGATAGTGCGAATTCTAGACATCAATGACTTAAGTACAGACAGTCGACATGTTGATCAAATACAATTTCAGGAACCAGGTGAGTCAGTTCCAATATCTTTTGTTAATTCTAATGCTAATAAGCACATTCTAGATAATACAGAATCCTTTTCCAATACAATGTCAGACAGACCCAGGATGAATTTGAGGAGAAGACGTACGATTGATTACAAACACCTAGACTTCAATTTAAGCTGTGGCGGATGTGGTGTTTGAACGAACTAATGATACTATTGTACTGGTTGATTGTACGATTTCGAATTCCAAATACAGTACATTCGGTTGTGCCTGTGTCTTCTTAATTCAATTGCGTTATCTCTGGGACTCTTAGTTCGTACTATAATTCGAATAATTCGAAACATTATAGAATTTCTCAGTGTACTAATTGCCTTTGAAATATTCTGTACATTGAAGTCTACATAAATAATTGACTCAGAAGTTATGACATTTCTCTTTTACCGGAGTTACTGGCCATAATTTGAAACTGGACGACTAGAGAGCTCGTTCAAATAAATAGGATATCTGAGTATATAGTGATTATTAAGTACTAACCGGCTAATACTAGGATCAGACACTGTGGGTATATAATATATTTCAGATATAAGGTGTTCCGATATAGCGTGAGAGAGTGACGATCAATTGAATGTTTACATCTCATTTAGTATAGTCAAAGGTGAAGACGCGTCAATGTCAATCGCTAGGAGCTTATATAAGATATGTAAGAAACGAAGTTCGCGATAGGTATATATTAAATTGTAAGCGTCCGTCGAAATTATTTTACCGGGGTAAAACGTACCTGATATGCGATGTAGGATGATAAACTCTGTCTAATACACGCTGCAAATGAACACGTCAAAAACTTCCTAAACCATGTGAAAAATTTTACCACTTTCATAAGACATCGCCTTGACACAGGAAATGAAGTTGATGCACTGAAGTATTTCAAAACGAATAACAAACAATCAAACCACAACCTTTTAAAATTGACCCAAGAGATAACAATCAAACGTCTTAAACCGGATCTATGTGCCCATAAAGAGGTAGTAGTGAGTCTTTCTTTATCCTAGTAGCAGTACACCCATTTTTATTTATTACATCACTCATTATTTTAACTCTTTCTGGAGCTTAATTACATCATTGTCGTTCTCCTTCAATTCATGTCCTTCTTCATTACAATTAATATGTTGTCAGTTTCTTCATTACACAATCACCAAATGTTTGTTAACTGCATGAGTTCTAATTACTATTCAAATGTTCTGGAACTTTCCCTTCCAAACTTTATTTATCCGAAACACTTTTTTATGACATTGTTAACTGTTGAACTCTTCGTTACATCGTGATACATATATTCATTTTTAATCACTCTTGTATGTATAAGTTTCATACAAGTAGGTAACCCTCGTGCTATTGATAGAAGGACATTCTATGCATTCCTTAACAAGTTTTTCTTTGTAAAATTTTCTAGACTTACGGAGGGTCGAGGCACAAGTGTTCCGAGCATTTTGATACTGAGATTTTGACTCATCAGTCCCCAGTAGCCTAAATCTACCCCAAATTTTCCTTTTCTTACGGAGAAGGATACGGACCTCCTTACTGAACCATGGTGGTGAGTTTTTCGGCCCCTTTGGTATAGTCCAAGGGATGTGAGGTGTGGTAACTTTTAAGTATGAATTTCGAAATGCATCCCAGGCCGTTTCAATTGAGGACTCTAGGTCTATTGTCCAATCTAATAACGATGCTGAGTGCATGATGTCTGGTATGTTTGCTTCCTAGACGTTGGGTCTGAACTTGACTGACGCATGCTCGTGACTGGCAGTTATATGGAAGTCGAAAGTTAAAACTGCGTGGTCACTTTTACCTAGGGGTGGCATATGTTGGAGGTTCGCAATATCATCCTCATAGTGAGTCAGTATAAGATCTAATAAGGATAATTCAGTGTCCGGATCTTACCTTGTCGCTTCTTTCACATGTTGTACTAGAGCACATGTGATAACCCCATCAACTAGTTCTTGCTCGAAAGAATTCTCCGACGATTTAGTTCGCAGATAGGTGCGTTAAAGTCCCCTAGGATTAAACATCGACCACTTTGGGACCAAGTATTGAGACTGCTTAACAGGATCTCATTTGCCTCACAGCTTGGACTGCGATAGACCAAACCAATCAGCAGCTCTTGTCCCTTGCAGTTTAAGCGAAGACTAACTAATTCAAACGTCCCACTCTCATGGGATACACTATCGATAATGGCGAATGGAATAGCATTCCTAATGAATAGAGCTACTCCCCCTCCTTTGCGCTTTTGTGTTCTGTCGGCCCTTACTAACGTAAAACCTTCGAAATTAATTTCCATACTATCTGTAGCCTGTGTCAGCCAGGTTTCTGTTACTGCGATTATGTCTGGCTTTTTAGAGTCGATCTGTACACCTAGTTCCGATCGCTTATTAAGTAAGCTTCGTGCATTGGTGTAACAGATCCGAAGCCTGTTTAAGTGCCTTCGGGCTTCACCCAGAGTGGCTTCGGCATCATTCTCTGTCGAAGTTTTACAACCCGAAAATTTACAATTTTCAGGTCCTTTTCGTCAGCGTCTAACCTAAGTTGTAGTTCTTTCTCGGTTTTCCGTCTTTTAACACGGTCTGCCAACGGTAGGTCCTTTCGGATAAAGACTCCTGAACCCTTTAATTTGTGTCCATTTTGTAAAATTAGGTCACGTTCGTTCGAAGAGCCGAATACTACTTTAAGCAGTCTGGAATGATTTGGTTTAGAGTCCGCTAGACTCCCTAATCTGTATATCTTTAGCAAGTTGACCCCGGTCATATTTTGAGGCATGAGTTGATTAAGCAGCTGCCTAATCAGTACAATGTCATTCTCAAAACGAGCTTTAGGTTCAGAGCTCTCGCTCTCCTTGATTCTATGAAAAATAGCTGATCTGTCGCTATGATCAACTTTCGATTTTTCAACTACTTTTACGGGGGCAGGATTCCACTTTATATCCCTACTTTTCTTCTTTACAACCTTTACCCATTCGTCAACGGTGCTGGTAGAAGCAAAAACAGTTGCGTCAAACCTAGTGTTGGATTTTGGGGGTTTGTCGACGACTTGAGAGGTTGGGTTATGTTTACCGTTTGAAACCGATCGAGCCTTGCTATTACGGCTTCTAGGTGTTTCCTGTTGGATCCCATCTGGGAGACGGGGAACAGAAGACTCTACTTTTCTTGAGCTTTTGTTTAAGGCAGGCCCCTTTGGAGACGGCTTTTCCTTCTTTGACGGGCGTGAGTTATCTATCATCGGACTAACCTTAGTTTCCTTCACGTTGATTTGCGTGTCGACAGATCGAGTGCTGTTTGACGCGTTCCGACTATGCTTTCTAAAACACTTCTTTGCAGCATCAACCAGTGAGATGGCCTCGGTGTACAAGCTGTTTGCATCTGAGCAGCACTGTTGACAAAGCCATACACAACCCTTCTTACTGAACCGTTTGAAAGCAGCAGGCGTTAAGTTCGTACAAACTTCGTGGTACCAGTCTTTACACTCGTCGCACTGCATGCCGCTTTCAACAGGATAACGACAACCCGGACGTTGGCAACTGCTTTTTTTTACACTGTCCGGTCATTAAGAAGGGGTTCTTTTTCAAGATGCGATGATACTCAGAAACAAAAAAATAATCAATGATCAAAAAGTGAAGAGCTGTAGATTGCTAGGACCAAAAGTACTAACAGATACAGTTGAAAAAGAGATACTCAAGAGTACCAACGACAAAACTAATTGAGAGAACAGTAAAAACGATACTCTAGTCGAATACTTTAACTGATATAAATTCAATCAAAGTGAAAACAGTAGCCTTGATACGTAATAAACGATCAAAACAAACAAATTTACTCAGCGAGGAAAAATATCAATGTCCTTTTTAAATAACGTGACAAGGAAGACTTTATCCTTCACTCACGGAAAGAATATAATAGGAACTATAGACTCAAAGTGGCAAGAAAATAATCAGACTACTCAGATACAGATCCCAAGGATTAAGTAGTTCACTAGTTATGACACTCAAATTTGGTGTTTTGAGTTAGAGCGTGGATTTGAATGATTGGCTACTCAGTTTGGTGTTATGCAGTTTTTCAGCACAGTTTGTGATAGAGTTTCCTCTTTCAGTTCAAATATATATGAAACCTTCTATGATCTTATTAACAAGTTCACTTTGTTTTACTCTGGAGTCCTTATAAGTATAAGAGAAGGTATCTTGGCAGAAATATTCCCGAGCCTTCTTTTGTCGTATGTAAGTAGCTGGGTTGGAATTTCTCGAGATTTACAGAATGCCACGGTCCTCCTCATACTGACTCTATTTTTGCTGGGTCTATCGACATTTTTACTACTACGGCACTTAAAGTCGCATGGTATTTTAATGTTTCTAAATTAATTTTTATGTTGACATAGTGCCTTTGCGTGTTAAAACCACTCAAGTTCCTCGGGGATTCCGCCGAAGAGATAAGATCAGGTACCATGCAATCAGATTCGGGCGCAAATTCAGTGAAATAACGGAGGAGTTAAAAAAGGTACAGACAAAGGAAGAACGGAGAACTACTATCATAAATTTCGCGAGAAAGTGATTTGATTGTTTTTAACCCTCATCCTACAGAATCTTCAAGTTGCATGACATCGAAAAGTCGCCGACGCTGGCCTATGGTCGACTTCCTGAGTCGTTTTTTGAACCAGATGAGGAAGATGTCTCTTCATTACCAGAAGATCTTCGCTTGATGATAAGTTCGATAAGGGTTTTCGGGCAACTGGAAAAATCATTTTTCATCAGGTTTTGCAAATTCATTGAGACAATAGAGCTAAATGTAGGCGAGTATCTGTTCCGTATTGGAGATGAAGATAAATATGTGTATGTTATTCGTAGTGGTAGAATCCAAATCACTGTCACAGAACCGGTAAGTTTTCAATACCATTTTGGTAGACAGCATGTTACTTTTTGCCAAGAAGAGTTTACTTTGACTATTTACAACAATAAACACAGGCTAGAAATGCGTTATTTCTCATCAGTTCAAAATTTTGGGGGATTCAGTGTCGGTTAAATTTGTCGAATACTGGTCAGACATTTCGCAACACTATTTATTAAGAATCTAAATTTACTGTGAAATTTTTGATACCATACAAGCTATAGTACGTCTGCTAATAACCTGAAAAATCCGTATTGTGCAGTTTTATAGTTATGACTTTTAGTTTGCTACTATTGAGTTTTTATACAAAATATCCACTGAGCCCCATTATATATATAGTTTTGTCTGTCTCCGCTGATTGTCTCTTCGGACTTCCCTAAATCGTCAAAGTGATAATGAGTTAACTTAACTCTTCGTTTTTCCTCTCCGGATTCAAATTAAAAATAATAAAAGCTGATGCTACCTGGAATCTGATTAGCTTGCTATAATAAAGGATTCTCATTTATCCTTTATCTTACTGTGCTTTGAACAAAACATGTCAGTTTCTATTCTTTGATATCATTTATCGTTTTAACCTGCCTTTTAATTGTTTCAAGTTTATAATTATGATAGTGTTACTACTTTCAGTTCTCATTTTTGTTGATATTTTCTGTAAAGTACAGCAACTTGTTTACATCGTTTTACCTAGCTAAATTAATTCACATTCACATATCAAAAATGTGTCACCAAACCGTTTATTTTCATGGTTTATAGTTACAACTAATGGTATTTAAAACAATATTGTTATGTTAATACTTGTTTGGTTTTCTGAGTTGAATATTTTCTGAGCATTACTGTGCCTTTTAAATATTTTCTCTTGGGTCTAAATGTATAGGATGGATCCAAGTGCATCATCGCTGAAGTTGGAAAGGGTGGGAGTGTTGATAGTTTGCTATCTGTTCTGAGTATACTTACTGGTTATCCTTCAACTTTTGAGTTCATGGAAGCAGTCGCTTTGGAGCCCACAACTGTATTATGCTTACCGGCCCGATCATTTTTGGAAATATGCAAAACACAAACACCTCTTTTTCGCATTATTCAGATGATTGCAGTTAGACTTCAGCGTTTGAGCTTCAACGCGTTGCACACTTATCTTGGTTTAAGTTCGGAACTAATTAATAAGGTTAGTATTATAGTTCCTTTACAATAGGCTATCTGCCACTTAGTGAAGCCTAACTATTTTGTACCTAACTGGTTCGATTAATTGAATTCCACTGTAATTTTTCTGTTGCTTTTAGCGTTCAAAATATCAATTAATAAGAGTTATCTATCTTAAAGAAGGGCATATGCTATGTCATAATCACTTGATACACATTCTTGTTGCTTTTTGGGTTCAGTGTTCTATTTCTTCTATTTGCTTGTTTTTAATCGTCTAATGAAGAGTAATACTCTGAAGAAATAGTTAAAGATGTGTTCGCCTAAGCTCTATGTTGACAGTATTGTGTATAAACTTTTACCAATATATTTATAGTTAAGGTTTTCACATACTGTGCATTTGGTTCCTATCGTTTTTCTTTCAGCGTTAATCACTGGCCACTCTATACCTTAAGAGAATCAAAAGGATCGTAAATAAGCATAATTTAGGGGTTTATATACGCGAACATACTCTTAGTTCGACTTTGGTTAATGTCCGTCAGCTAGACAAACAGGTTTATATCTTGTATAGGTTATACCTGTTTTGTGTAACTTATTTCTAAGAGATTCATGTTTTGGAAGAATAGACATTGTTCATCTCTCTAAGTGTGATACAAAAGTGTTAATAGCAGTTTTAAAATGTCACAAGAAAATAAGTGTAGTGTAAAAACTGTGATTTCAGTGAAGCAGATAACATTTCACATATTGTACTTTTCTGAATTAAAGAGAAACAAAACAAGAGGTATCGACTATTTGAAAAGAAACAAGTGTGAAACTGTATTCCTGTGGTTGGTTTCGAGATAAATTGCATCGCATGAACCTCGACTACGATATATGTATCTTCTAACTCAGTATCTGGCTTCAAGTCACAAGTTCTGTATGAGGATTAGTGATGTTGCCAGGCTACACAAGCCACAGTAGGTGAATCGCGTTTTGAACCTGTAAACTTGTGAGTGAAGAGAGGAATTTTTTGATATTTAAACTACTATTCTACTAAAACAACAACTGACAGACTGATCCCATATCGTATTTTGAAAGCCCCTAGCTTTTCCACTCCACTTTTGCCGACCAACACAATGCATCGGTGTAGGTGGAAGCAGATTGTGTATACTACATATCTCAACTGCTCTAGTTAATCAAGGAACACGACCTTGATAACCAATTTACTACCTTTACTTCATACTCTACATCTAGCATTTGCGCTGCTAATTTGATCGTTTTACTGTTTGTTGATAGTACTTCGAAGGTACTTATGGTCATATGATAGGAAGTTGTGTATTTTGGTTTCAAGACCCTTAAAATCCAACGTAATGTGAAATGAATGTCTGGTTTATTTACTCTCCCTAATATTAAGAATGATAAGCCGATCAAAATCATTTTTAGATAATCAATCCAGGTGATTAGAGGACTCTTTGTCACTTTATCATCTCTCATGGTCTTCTGCACTCTTAAAGTCTCAGAGTTTCCAAATGCGAGTTATATAATTAAAGAATCGAACTTGATAACTTTTTACATCATTCAAATTATGAAGCCCTACAGACCATATTGTTATTGATCACCATTGAAGGGAATAAATGTTAGTCTGTTGCTTTTCTGCATTTTCATCATTTACTAGAAAGGTTTCTCATGATAGACCTGAAGATAAAAGCAATAAGTGTGTGATAAAGGACTATCAAGAGTGGTTTCATTTATGACCTACCCTAGTGAAGTATTCAGTCTACTTGAAAATATCGTTGAAGATTGTAAGTAATCTGTGACCAGTGGTTATAGATAAAAAGGATATTAGGGATAGGCAATAACTGGAAGTTATTTAATTTATTCAAAGCGGTTTTAAAAAGGCGATGCTTAGTATAGCTATCATAAAAGAGGATTGAATATTTATTATTCCTGGGATTAGTAGACTGAAACGTTGACTAAAAAACCTCAATATATCAACTAGCCTACAGCTGCTCTTCACTTATTTAAACTTGAATCACAACCACAGATGATATTGAGGTCGGTAAGCGCAGGATGAGGCCAATAAAAATCAAAGCAGTAGGATCTGACCTCTGAAGCCTCTAAGTATGGTAGTCAGTAGGCACCTGTACAAGCGTTTTCTTGATAGAGGGGTTCGGGTTTACAAGGAAGGCGAAATTGCAAAACAAGTGTAAAAAACAAATATCTCATGCTACTGATTATAATTTATCCTTATAATAGTGGTTCAATTACAGCTAATTTATAAATGAAACTGGGTGGAATACGGCTTCTAAAACTTGATAAGATTGTAATAATATAAGATATAAGCGATAAACATTATGAGTGCAAATAACACTTGTGGTAATCATTATGTTGATTAAAAAGTCAAATGACCGTTCGCCTTTTTAATTCTCCACGTAACACTTCCGAAATTGATGTATTTACACTAATTAAGTGAAATAAAAACTGAACATTGAGAATATTGAATTCGTTTGTCGGGTGTAGATTTTGCCCAATTGAAAACTACTTTTCTTTTTGGTGATCTGCATCATCATCGATGGGATAATCGTCCACAAATCCTCATAAAGGATGCAAACATATCTTTACAATTACGTAGCAGTTGTTAGTAATATGTTAATCTATGAAGGGGACTACTAAGAGGAGTAAGTAAACTTATGAATTGATGCTTTCCCCTATTGTTGTAATATGTCATAGTTTCTAGGCCCGACTGCCTCGACGTGCGATGTTCAGTGGTATAGAAGTAGGTTGGAAGAAAGCTGGGGGCGGCCAGACCAAAACATGGCGCAAGTCCATGAAGTCACTGACAAGTGGTCTGAGTCATGTCGGTAGGTGTAGACTACCTGGTTGAGAACCGCGAGATGATAGCAACCGATGGTTAGAGACCCTGAATGACATGGCTCGAAATCGTTTGCAATGGCGCAGGTGCATACACTTCTTGTGTTCTCCCAAATTTTGATCTCCTTATTCCTCCTTGTCTCTTTTTTTTCTCTTCCCAAATTTATTTCACTGCATTATACTCTTTAAGTAACGTCTCCAAACACTAATCTTCCCGATTACTGCTTATACTCTTATTACCTCTACCACTACGGGATTTGAATCGACCACTGCATCTCTGTGCTAATGTGGTGTGGCAACTCGAACTGATGTACATACGTACGAAGTTCTACGTTGTTACTGACTGACTGACTGAGGCCCTCAAATAATCAACACTGTTGCAACAGATACTTGGTTCAAAAAGTTGTATCGTCATTTCAAATAGGAACTCATTGGGTAAGGTTTCCAACATATGAGGCTTGGGTGTTCATCATTGTTACTAATCACCAGCAATAGATTTCTCATATCTATGTAAATCTATTTTAATTCATTAGTAAGAGGCATTTAGGAAGAAGATATTGATAGCAGTTGGTGATTTCATTGTTACTTGAATATTGTTTTTAAAAAGTATTTTCTTTAGTTATAATCGATATTATTCGATAACATGTTACCTATTCATTCAAATTCATTGTTTACGTAGGACTTTTCCCCTATATCTGGTTCATCTGAAGCTCACGAATTCCTATGCAAGGTTTTTGAGAAGAGACCATCAATGAAAGACTTTAACAAATTCGGTAATATTAGTTTAAAATACCCGGGTAAGATTTCCTTTATATTAATCATTGTACTTGTCATCATTTTGATAAGTCAGTTAGTCAGTGGTTTCGAGTACTGTTAGAGATATGAGGGTGGTTATCACTTCTGGATTGCCCACACTGTGTAAGGGTTCTTCTAGGAGTATCTGAAAAGGAAATGGGGTTAGAGTTGTTCTTAGTGATCTGAAAGCGTGGCTGCAGTCACTCAGCTACAACGTAGGACCAGGTTCATATATGCGTCGGTTCAAGTTGTCACACATCATTAGCACAACAGGATGAACACCAAATTCATAGAAGCAGTTACTTCAATGGTAGTAATATATAAAAGAAAGACTTCATATAAGGATACAAGGAGAAGCGATTGGTTCGTAGAAAGGAAGGTATAAGATAATTTTAATCTCACCGTCTAAGAGAAGACAAAGAGTGTATACACCTACTCCATTGTGATCGATTCTGAGCCATATCACCCAGAGTCTCCAACCATTGGTTACGTTAGTCACGCGGACCTCAACCAAGTAGTCTGCATCTACCAACTTGGCTCAGGCCAGACGTTCGTGACTTCAAGCACTGGTGCCACGTTTTGTTTTGGTCGCCCCTAAATTCCTTCCGACTATCCCCAACACTGGTCAGCATTGCGGGTCGTGGTAATCGGTATTCAGGCATAAGTAACACTTGGCCCAAACATCTCAGTCGATGAGGACTCACAACCTCATCGACTGATTTACCATCATTCCCTAATACCCTGTGTCTGACATCACTATTAATTACCCGGTGATCCCAGCAGATGCGAGCAATATTTCTAAGACATCTGTGACTAAATACTAGTAACCTACGAGTATCCTCTACCATTAATGGCTACGTTTCGCAGCCGTAAAGTAGAACAGAACGAACTGCTGAGCAGTATACTCGTACCTTAATTGATAGACATATATCTCGCTCTCTCCATGGAAGACGTGAGTTGGCAAAAACAAAACGAGCTTTCTAAATTCGTGCAGAGATTTCGTCAGACACCTACCCATTAGGGCTGCTAAAACTGCATTTTATCAACGTTTTCAACAAACAGTACTACGTAATCAAGGTATTCTAAGTCGATAAGTGGACTTCCTGGTAGGAGATCGATTCCCAAAAAATCAGTTGACAAGAACGTTGTTTCCATCAGTATGTTTATGATGAAGTTGAACAAAAATGAAGATAGTGGACAGCTTTGTCGGACACTAATGTTTTATTTTACGTATTTGAACACATAAATATTGGTAAGAGGGGATACCAGATATATATGCGCCACACAAAACAATGAGAATGGGAAGAGAAAAAGAATGTAAGGTGCGTATAAGAAAGAATAAAACCAATAACGACCATAGACTACTGTGCGGTAGTAATAATAATAATAATAATAATAATAATAATAATAATAATGGGGGAAACGGAAAGGTATAACCAGAAAGAAATTCTTCCAGTTAAGGAAGTTACAACCACTTTTTATGAGGAAAATGAAAGAAAGTTATAGCAGGATCACCACTGGCTTCTATTCTGAGCCATATCTGATAACGTCTCTAGCCGCTGTGTTGCACCGTTTCTCGGACTCCAGCCAGGGAGTTGAGATAGACCAACAGAAGCCAGCCCTTTGCAGCTTTCTTTCATACCACGACACCATGTCATACACTGACGACCTCTCCGTTCTTCCCAATCAGTCCCAGCGTCGGCAAATAATGCACGACGTGGAATTCTCTGGGACGACATTCGTAGAACATGTCTAAGCCACTGAAGTCGAGTTTTCAAGATAATGACACCAATTGAATTATCGTCGCTGTGCCCGAACACACGACACCGAGCCTCTGCATTACTAACATGGTGTTGCCACTGGATGTCAGCGATCCTTCGGAGACAACGTTGATCAAACACAGAGAGTCATCTAACATCGTCAACTTGGAGAGGCCAGGTTTCCCAAGCATAGAGCAAGACTTCTCTCACCGACGCGTTGTAGATACGACATTTTGCAGCCAGAGTAAAATCACGAAGGCGCCAAAGATGGCTCAGATTGGCATAATCCTCTCTGACTTTCACTATGCGTGTATTGATCTCATCACTCACGTCACCACCAGCACTTGTGTAGCTACCTAGATACACGAACTTCTCGACTACTTCTATCTGCTCACCACTCAGGGTGAGTTCAGTATCAGGATCCTGTCAGTCTTGTAAAAGTAGTTTGCACTTCGAAGGTGCAAAGCACCTACCGTACCTAAGGACACTGATTGCCAACCGATTAAGTGCAAATTGTATTGCCTGGGTACCATCGCATGGTAAGACAATATCATCCGCATACTCAAGGTTGAAAAGTCTTTCTTCAGGCAACAGATCCACACCGCTATTACCTACATCAATCGGAGCTGTTTCCAGAACGTCATTGAGGGCAAAGTTGAAGAGGAATGGTGAGATTGGGCAACCCTGCCTAACCCCACTACTCGAATGGAACAATGGAGAAAGGTGGTTGTATGCCCTCACTCTGCCTGAGGTGTTTGTATATAGGGCTTTTAGGATGTTAATAAACTTCTCAGGCACACCCTTCTTCAATAGACAATCCCAGAGAACAGTCCTGTCCAACGAATCGAAGGCAGCCCTGATGTCAAGAAACACTACGATTGTTGGCCTTTGATAAGTATGGCGATGTTCTAACATTTGGTGGAGGGTGAATATATGATCAATACATCCTCGACCAGAACGAAACCCAGCCTACTCCTCGTGAGCCAATCTTTCTCGGGTTTTGAACAACCTACGAAGTATGACGGAAGCCAATAGCTTGAACGCAATCGGAAGTAGACTTATCTCCCGATAGTTGTTACAGGAACGACGTGAACCCTTTTTAAATATAGGGACAACTATCGACTCATTCCATGACGTCAAAACACTTTCTAGCTCCCAGGCCTTTGTAAACGACATTGTCAGTTCCTTAACCAGAAATTCACTACCATTTTTAAAAAGACTCGGAGGCAATTCATTTGGACCCGGTGATTAGTGGCGCTTTAAGAGTTGGAATTCCTTGCGGACTTCCACCTCACATGGTGGTTCAGTCTTCACCGGCCATGGAGGGCAGGACAGTCTGATCGATGTTGCCAGAGCAACAGGCCAGTCGGACTGCCCTTCGAAGTATTCTGCCCATCGTCCAAGACGTCGATGGGTGTTAGTGATTGGCATCCCATCATCCTCACAGATTGTTTCGCTCACACGAGGCTTCTTGCTGCCAGTGGCTCGGATGCGTTGAAAGAGCTTTCGTTAGTTAACAGATGCAGCTGCCGCTTCTAGCTCATTAGCACTCTGCGACCACCAGGCTTCTCGGTCCTTACGCAAGCTTTGCCCAATTTCATTACGTAACAGTCGTCGTTTGTGGTTAAACTCACGGTCACCCAGAGTAGACTGACGGGCTTCGATGAGTTGTGAGGAGCCTGAAGAAACCCAGTGCTTATAAGCGGGCTGTTTCGCGAAGCCGCAAGCGGCCTTACTCGCCATTTTCATGGCTTCACGCAGTTGCGACCAATGCTACAGTTTTCGGTGGGATGGTAGCTAGCCTAGAAGCTAGCTCGATTCGATACTTACTTGCAACAAAAGTTGCAACCAGTTTACTGACATTGATCCGTTTACGACGATCAATTCGTTGGCCACTGAAAAGTAAGGTAAGATTGGCGCAGACCAGGGCATGGTCAGAGTGCAGATAGGTACTCCAAAAGAAGCGGCTGTCTTGTACACAACCACGCCAGCGGTAGCTGATCGTGATGTGATTAATCTGAGTCCAGGCTTGAGATGCAGAGGGAGGACGTCAGGTGGCACATCGGCGATGACTGCGGGGAGTTAGTGCTAGCCAGAAACAGGTTGTGGTCTGTGCACAGTTGCAGTAGACGGTACGCATTATTTGTCCTGCGAACAAGAAGTCCCCATCGGCCACCTAAACGACTCTCTTCTGTGCCTAGACGCCCGACCTGAGCATTCAAGTCTCCGGCTAGTACTATAATATCTGTCGAACGCACTTTCTGGAGAATAGTTAACTGGTGGTAGAATTCATCCTTGATTGCATCCGGGCTGCAATCTGTCGGGGCATAGGCGGAGATGACGAAAAGACATCGTTTCTCACGCCGATTTCTTCTAACTTTGATGAAACTTTCTGATCTAACAGCACATAACTGACTGTTAATGGGGATCCAATCGATTAGTGCTGGCTCAGCTCCAGCGCTTAGTGCGATACCAACGCACGTAAAACAAGCCCTTTGAGGCGACAGATGGAGAGAGAATTTGTAGTACTTCACTAGAGTCTTGAATACGGATCTCGGATAGACAACAAACGTCGATATTAAGACTTTCTAAAGACATAGCCAGCCTTATCTGCTGTCTAACCTGCATAAGTGTGCGAACGTTGAGGGTAGCCAATTTGAATGGTGCACGTGGTTTCAGAAAAAACTTTCTGTATTCGTATTCGGTGGTAGCATACAATTTTTATCCAGGCAGTGACTCGAGAACGTTTAGATAGAGCCGAATTTCCACCATAGGCGAGCTGCTGTATAAGCTGAAAAATTAGGATACTGTTTTGGCCCAAAGCCGCCAATCAGAAGCAGCGAATTATCGATCGGACCAAGGGCTCGTAAAACACGCATGAGCAGCCTAGATTCCTGATTGGTCCTGCTTTCCGCCTAGCCCAGCCAGTTAAGTCCAGAACACCAGTTTCAGACTCTGTATTATGAATCGCTATATTTCAAACATACTGTGTCCATATACCAATCAAACAAACCACAACGTACCAATAAAATATGAAACAACATTTGTACAAGATTTGGTCAGATGTGGCTGTGAATGAGGGAGGTAGTAATTAATATACTGGGTATAACTCAAGAATGGTGGAACGTATAATAATAGTTTATGGGTCAAAATAAAACTTATAATAAGAGGAATATGAATATGCATAGTTTAGTTGCTTAATAATTATACAATAGAAATATACGTTTAGTATTGGCCAATCAATAGATCCCAAAAGTTACCATTTATTATTCTTGCCGGGACATAACAGATGCACAAAGTGGGAATAAAAAAGTGAATAAGTGACGTAGTAAAAAAAAGAAAAAATGAATGTGAATTGTCTGACTTTTAATCGAGGTGAGAATAGTATTTTCAGCAATTACTGTCATTTCATTTTGTTTGTGTGTGGGCTGTGATACTACCCCGGTTCCCAGACCGAAGCAGATGGTTTTATTAGGGGGCCACACCCCGACCTTTGACCTAAAGGTCTGACCCACAAGGCAGTGGAACAACGTGAGGAGATTCAGTCCCACAGTAGCCGGTGACCAACAATTGGTTCATACGCCATTTGTTCCTTCAGGATACTGGAGACCACGCGCATCACTGATTTGGAATCAAGGTTTTCCAACTCTCCTAGGTGGATCCCCCATATCCATCAACCCGGTTAAAGCGCCGGACATTTGCGTTTTGTCCTTTCAATTTCGTAAACAACACCCCAGCCGCGAGAAGGCAGTGAGTAGGACTTCCTTGGCAGTGATTGTATGCACGTGGCCATGTGAGAGCATTTCGAGAGAAATAGATGACTCTACCCACTCTCAGCCGTACGAGGGCATTTGGGGGCCGGACACCACTTAGAAGATCATTCAAACGAAGTTCACGATGGAACTCTGATACAGGCATTTCACTTCTAATCATTAGACGTTTGATTCTAACTGACATGTGATTCATAGCTCAACGAACAAATATGTACGTAGTTGGTGGCAACCTTCATATTTCTTACTTATTCGATGAAAAAAGCCTTGATTAACAATCTGTCCTTTTGAGATGGTAGTAAAGATTTGTAGCTCAGGTGGGTGGTTTTGGTGGAGGTTTGTTCTCTGAGCTGGATGGTTTGGTCGTGGAGCTTTCATCGTTCTTCTCCGCGACCAAACCATCCAGCTCAGAGAACAAAACTTCACCATAATCTATCCTCTTATATAGTTAGGGTTTGAATTAAATGTACATAAAGGACTGTTTTTAATCAACGTAACTAATCAAGCATTCAACGTTATTATTATTATTATTACTAATACTGTTATTATTATTATTATTATTATTATTATTATTATTATTATTATTATTATTATTATTATTATTATTATTATTATTATTATTATTATTATTATTATTAATACCATAGCATGATCTAGTTACAGAATTTCAGTTCTCTTTATCGCTATATACTCACTTTTTTTTAGCTCCATTTTTCTTAATTAAAGTCTTAATCAATTTGTGGCTTATGATACGTATCACGTATTTTTACAGAAACTTCAAGTAATGGAAGAGGTCAGCCAGGAGATATTTTCTTGGGGATCTCATTTTCAGAGCTATACATTTACGATTGTCATAACTTATATGATAATTTGAATTTTATTTCTTTTTCGAGATGAATATGATTCAGTGGACAAGTTTTAAGTCTCCTCCTCATTCACACTTACTCATTGTACATATGTCGACCACTAGCTAATTTAATTATTCATTTATTTATTGATATAACTCATTTTTGATTGTATTTGCAGGATATAACAAGGGTAACTCACTTTAGCCTTTAGCTACATCCTGATATGTTTAGACGTTTTAACCTGATAATTTGTAGGTGACTTTAGATAGAATTTTTCCCAATTACGATTGTTTGTCCCTTAACAGTTAGTTGGAAAAAGAGGTTTACGAAATCAGGCACCGATGTAACAGAGTCCTTTGGCTAAAAAAGTAACACGTACTTTTGAAATTGGTGCACGAAAACAGTACTTTTCTGCAATCTGAAATACTGGCCTTTTCGATGCTGGACACATCAACAGAGATAAGTTTTAAGAAGGCTTCCCAACTTACACCAGGCTACGAATTTTCAAGTCGATATGGTTAAATGACACATGTTGCTTTGTAATAGTAACTGCTTTTGAAAAGCTAGTATTTAATAAATTTAAACTAGTCAGAACCTACAACAAAGATGAACTGCTGAACAAGTTAGTGAATGAAAATATGGGAAACATAAGAAAAGTACATTGATATTAGGTGATATAAATCAAAGTTATTCCCACTAACTCAAAATTCTCTGAAGATTATACTATTTAATTATGTTTTCAACTTTTATCACGATTATCTGCGATAAAATAAAAGTGGGTTTTCGAACACCGATGGTTAGTATTTTTTAAAGTCGTATAATTGTGCTATAAAAATATCTGGACAATATTGTTGTTTATGGTTATGCTGCAAATAGATTTATTGTTGGTATCTGAAATGTGACTTTCTGAATCATACCTTGTAGTTCAGTTTATGAAAAATACAATACGGAACATAATAACATTTAATTATTATTTACTTTGTAGATAATTGTGTTTTTCTAGATTTTTTTTTCATTTCTGTTGTGCCATTTGAAAGCCCACATGTTTCATTACATCTCATAATTATATAATATTCTGACAGTTGAGGTCAATCAGTTCTGTAACTCAACATTACACTAATGATAAATAAATGATAATGTTCAATGAGAAACTTTTGAAATCCGGTTGTCATTTTTTAAATTTTATGAGACAGTCTTCGGTCTCACGGGTTTGGTGAATATGTTTAAACTTTTAACCCACTTTGGAACTATCGTCTTCTTTAAGTACATTGTTATAAACGTTTTTTTTTTTCAGATTTAGATCTTACATGTTCAAAAGTTAAATTTTCCATATCGAATGTCACAGATCAAAAGTCCAAAAATTCTGAATCAGAATTAGAACAGGTTTTCACCTATAATGATGATCTGAATTTAGATTCAATGTCTCAATCTGGTGCACTTGAATTAGGTGAAAGTCCTATATTTTACAATCGGAAAACGGCATCACCCATATTTTCACCTTCTCAACCACCTAGTCCAAATTGTAAACATCGTTCCACTAATTTACGTCGGGCACGCTCTCTTGCAGATACATCTCGTAAACTTCAATTAAACTATGACGATGTAAATGATGTGATAAAAGACATTGGTAATAAAAATAACAAAGGAGAACCTTGTGATTTTGTTAAAGATGTTAATTTTACCAAAAGTGAATTAGAAGAAATGATAAAATTCGCTGAAAAAGATTTAGCTAATTTATTAAATTTAACCGATACCAGTATCCTGCATGAACATGTTTCACTTACCACTGTTTCATCTGATTTTATACTTTCAAGAGAATGTGAAATGCAATTAGAAATGTATTATGTAATATTTGGAGAATTGAGAGCTTTCCAATCAACTAATGATGGACCTAATAATGATGTAATGATTGTTTTTTTAAATAATGTTTGCTTTTATAAATTGAGGATTACTTAATTTTTAATATTTCTTTTCTCATATGTTATTTCGATAGTTAATTTCATTTACACTTATAACCTACACGTTATTCGTTTTTTTTGGTATATCCTTATTAGTCATGTGAATAACGTACTTATATTTCAATGGAACAACGGTTTGGTAAACCAGATTAGTATTACTGGTTTTCAGATATAAATGGGTTTTATCATTTAGATTCATGATTCACATGCCTGTGCAAGTAGTACACCAGATCGCATAACGTACTACAGTTTGTAATTTACACTAGGTATATAATTAGGTTTTGTTACAAATCAATGTGTAAGTCACATTGTTAACTATTCTTCAATGGGTAAGCGGTATAACAATAAGTAATAGGTCGAAAGATAACTTTCAAATTAAACTATGTAAAAAATATGTCGTATAATAGCTTTACTAAATACTCGTTGAAAGTAGACAAGTTAATCGAATAAAAAGTATGATTAACGAAGTTTCATATGTTACTTGTCACACTCTAACGACTAATCAATCATTGAGTATTGACCAATGTTGCGTTAGTTTGATCCTTTTAGTGTTCATTGAACTCTGTCGATCAAGTTACCATGTAGCAAGAGTTTCCGACCAACTACCTTAATCTACCTGACATTTTCAAGAGTGTATGCAGTGTCTAATCGCCTAGATTACTGGCTATGCTACATCTAGCCCCCAGATGCCGAGGGTGGGGAGAGTCATCTCTTTCTCTTGAAATGCTCTCACATGGCCACGTGCATACAATCACTGCCAAGGAAGTCCTACTCACTGCCTTCTCGCGGCTGGGGTGTTGTTTACGAAATTGAAAGGACAAAACGCAAATGTCCGGCGCTTTAACCGGGTTGATGGATATGGGGGATCCACCTAGGAGAGTTGGAAAACCTTGATTCCAAATCAGTGATGCGCGTGGTCTCCAGTATCCTGAAGGAACAAATGGCGTATGAACCAATTGTTGGTCACCGGCTACTGTGGGACTGAATCTCCTCACGTTGTTCCACTGCCTTGTGGGTCAGACCTTTAGGTCAAAGGTCGGGGTGTGACCCCCTAATAAAACCATCTGCTTCGGTCTGGGAACCGGGGCAGTATCCTAGCCCTTACACAAATCGATTGATGAAGTGTGGCTCATATATTTGGTGCATCGTGCCAATGTTTATGTGTTTAAATAAATAAGTAAATAAATTGGTCAATAGAATTTGACCAACATTGAAACGACCCGATAAACCTGAAACTACTCAATGATCAGCCAATTGTAAGTAATTGTTGTACATAAAGTTGTTCGCGGTTCAAATAGCTCAGTGGGCAAGGTCTCAGAATATGAAGCTGGGTGACATGGAATATAAGCCGCTAGTGGGTACCAGTTCCTTAAGAGTATTGGTGAATATTAGTAGGGAGTGCCAAATAGTACGAAACCTAGGTTCAGAGTTTCCTATCAGCTGTTTCCAACTACTTAATATTTTCTCACTCTCAAACAAACACATAGCAGAAGTAGTCTTGATAAAAGTTACCCATATAAATCTAAATGTCATTCGACATAATTCTCTATTTAACTGGCATCAATAAATGCAAACCCATTAATGAATGATAAAACCATCAAAATATATCAAGTATGAAATAAATGATTATTTAAAGTATAGTAGCGAAATGTAGTTTTCAGTTTTATATATGTATAATTGTTGCTTAGGAAAAAAATTTCTGTGCCAAAAATTCAAGCGTATTACTACTGCCTTGATTGGTGATAAAATAATATTTGAATCGCCAAGAAATCATGGAACTGGAAATCTGATTTTTACTTGCCATAGATATGTATAGATGTTTTTAAAAATATTCGATTAAACTAATCAGAGTATGGTATTCATCTTTCACTCCATACAATGTATCAGCATTTCTGTGGTTTTGTGATTTATATGAAGAACAAGTTAAGATATTCTTTTATTGAGTTATCATTCCTCTTTACATGATTTTTCTTCCTTTCAGTTAATACAACTTCTTATTCAAGTACAAGTTTCTAAACCTAGCTTGCAGTCATACTTTTCCATTTTTAAGGTAGTAACCCTACCCGGCTTCCCAAGTATAATGGTTAGACGTTCAAGTTGTTCTATATGTGTGTTTATATTGGGGCAAATGGTCATTTTCTCTGACCAGCATACAAAATTTGTCGATTAAATCTGTGTTTGATAGATTTATTCTCATGACTAAATTATTGATAAGTTCTCATGAAATGTAAACCTTGCAAGTACCTTCCTAAATAAGAATTATATTTCCAAACTTTGGGAGCCTTAGTGTTCCACCAGGTATTATGATTTTATTATTTTCATCCGCTCTTTTACTTACCATTTTATGAACGGTTTAAACTAAATTGAACTCATTCTAGCTACTTGAAAGTGGCTGTCTGTGTTTCCTGTGAATTAATTTGTAATAAATGCGTGAGTATAAAAATAATCTTAGTTAATTTATAAAAGACGAAAAGCAATTTTTATTATTTTCATTTTCAGTTGTACAGTTTTGAATGAACTATATTCAAATACTTGAAACCGTAGTTCAAACCTCACTTCACTTTTGCTTATTTAGTCAAGTAATATCATACTATCCATCAAACAAGCAGCATAACTTAAAGCCAATTACATAAAAAGCAGCTTTATTAAACCCTTTTTTTAACTAGATAGAATCGTGACTTTTAGCACTAAATTGAGATAATCAATTGATGTTCGCCTTACGAAATGCTAGCAATAGCAATGTAATATCTGATCAACCTACGTGAGGCTCCCAATATCTCAGTGAGACGTGTTCAGTTCCTAAATTTGAAGTCTTTTCATATAATTGAATCACAAATGGCTTGATAAATTTCATGTCACCACATTCATATGGTTCGAGAAATTCAAGTACAGATGTTTATTTTGGCAGACTAGGCTGAATCACTTTAATGCTGTACAACTAATGTATTCACCATATATAGTATCGAACAACTTAGTTATGTTTTAATTCACTTTTCATCTACTATGCATTCAAAACAAACGATTTAAATAACTAATGCTATCACTGACAGCTACCATTATAATACGATGTGTATTATTGCAGAGTGGGGGTGTATTTGGAGTTATATCGAGGATTGCTTACTGAGAATCCAGACATTTTAGGATATAAACCGACGTTCTACGTCTAGTGCGAAAACTTTATGGTTAAAATCCAACTAGAAGCAATGCAATTTATGATGTTAGGTATTAATCACTGGAAAATTCCCATTGTATTAAAACACAATTGTATGAACGAAGAATATTCTTTTCAATAATTTCTCATCATGTTCTACAATTATAAATCCAAATTAATAATCCATAAAATCGGCCAGATTTAAGACAGAGTACATCATCTGGAAATGGTAATATATAAATTGAGAATTGTTGTTTGCTATATAAAATCAATTCAGATCACTTATCGCACAATTGCATTTCGCTTATAAACTGATTCAAGTTATCACTTTATACTAAACAGCCCCAACATTAACGGTCTGAATTGATTTTATATAACAAACAACAATTCTTAATTCACATATTACAATTTCCAAATGATGTACTCTGCCTTAAATCTGGCCAATTTTGTGACGTTAGATATCTTTGTTATTCCCTTAGTTCTTTAAGAAATATATTCATTGTAGTTTGTTTCAACCAACTATGTACCATGTTTTTAAAATATCGTTAATCTTCACGTGTTTAAAAATTATCAATTCAGTTATTGCTTGGATTATTGCTCAGGTCATTACAATGTTTAAATGTGGACCAGGAAAAGCAGTTGGACTTTTGGGACTGATAACCGGTGAACCAAATATTTATGGCGTACAAGCTACGACAAAGACTATTGTAGCTGTTTTATCCCGTGAGACATTTTACTCTGTAGTTCGTCAATATCCTAAGGCTTTGTTCAGTGTTACTCATATTATTTCTTCTCATTTATCACCGTTATTTCATCAACTTGATTTTGCCATAGAATGGTTGTCTGTTAAATCAGGAAAGGCTTTATATAAGTAAGTAGCAGCCAATCATTTTATAACTAAAATATGTTTTCGCGTTTCGTATCTCTATTTATTGTTGTTCTTTTGTTATTATTGTACAGCTGATTGTATGTTTGATAGCGAAAGTTCATACAGTTTTCACACCGGTTTCGTAAACTGATTAACTCACAGGTCTCAAGCGTTTTATTTATTTAGAGTTATTATTTTATCCGGCAAATGGATCCGAACCGTTGCATAATTTATTCTATTGAATTATGTTTATGATTCTTTTTTCATTCGGTCAATCGAAAATATTAAGTATTGGAAGAGAATACAAACAAGAAAGTAATATATAGTTATATTGTTATCAATCAAATAAAATGATGTATACGAAGTCATTATTATTCTGCTTTTATGCGTCTTTTCTCAAATAGTGTCCCTGTATTTGTAAATGTACTCATACCTCAAACAGTTGTGTGTTATTTTGCTGTGGTCGTTGGGTCTCTGGATGTTGCACTACCTTTGAATAACAGTATTTAATGAATGGATTTAGGTAATGGTGGTGTGAATTTATTGCATGGAGCAAGAGTTCTCGGCCTTGAGTATACAGTGGTACCCAGGCAATACAATTTGCACTTAATCGGTTGGCAATCAGTGTCCGTAGGTACGGTAGGTGCTTTGCACCTTCGAAGTGCAAACTACTTTTACAAGACTGACAGGATCCTGATCCTGAACTCACCCTGAGTGGTGAGCAGATAGAAGTAGTCGAGAAGTTCGTGTATCTAGGTAGCTACACAAGTGCTGGTGGTGACGTGAGTGATGAGATCAATACACGCATAGTGAAAGTCAGAGAGGATTATGCCAATCTGAGCCATCTTTGGCGCCTTTGTGATTTTAGTCTGGCTGCAAAAGGTCGTATCTACAACGCGTCGGTGAGAGAAGTCTTGCTCTATGCTTGGGAAACCTGGCCTCTCCAAGTTGACGATGTTAGATGACTCTCTGTGTTTGATCAACGTTGTCTCCGAAGGATCGATGACATCCAGTGGCAACACCATGTTAGTAATGCAGAGGCTCGGCGTCGTGTGTTCGGGCACAGCGACGATAATTCAGTTGGTGTTATTATCTTTAAAACTCGACTTCAGTGTCTTGGACATGTTCTACGAATGTCGTCCCAGAGAATTCCACGTCGTGTATTATTTGCCGACGCTGGGACTGGTTGGGAAGAGCGGAGAGGTGGTCAGTGTATGACATGGTGTCGTGGTATGAAAGAAAGCTGCAAAGGGCTGGTTTCTGTTGGTCCATCTCAACTCTCTGGCTGGAGTCCGAGAAACGGTGCAACACAGCGGGTAGAGACGTTATCAGATATGGCTCAGAATAGAAGCCAGTGGTGATCCTGCTGTAACTTTCTTTCATTTTCCTCATAAAAAGTGGTTGTAACTTCCTTAACTGAAAGAATTTCTTTCTGGTTATACCTTACATACTGATGGAAACAACGTTCTCGTCGACCGATTTTTCGGGAATTGATGTCCTACCAGGAAGTCCACTTATCGACTTAGAATACCCAGATTACACTGATAAAATCCAATGTTTTGGTAGCACTGAACATTAATGCCAGTATGTTTGAGACGCGTTTCTCCACCTCTAAATGCAAGTTGTTGCTTCAGGACTAGCCCGCGTCATTACCTGAGCTAAGGGTAGGGAATGTAATAGTCGAACGCATCGACAACTTCATTATCTTGGAAATCTGATCAGCCCTGATGGGTTGGTGTCTGACGAAATCTCAACACGGATTCGAAAATCTCGTTTGGTTTTTGACAATTTCTATGTGTTATTATGTTAGTCCATGGTCGGAGACATTCGCCATATAAATGTCATAATCATTTATTTATTAGTATCTCCTCAATGGAATTGCAAATCCAATTTTTATTCAATGTTTTCATTCCATGTGTACTGATAAAATTTACCTAAAATTGTTCCGAAGAAGAAAATTTTTTAGTTCCTGAAACATAAATATTTTGTGCATTTTCCTATTTATTTTGGGTAAATGGTGACTTCGTTTGTGATCTGTTGTGCACTAAGTCTCTTCTTACAATTGTAGAAATACCTTCAATTTCATAGCTTTGTAGGAAAAAAAATGTTCACTAATGGAGGTAGAAAATTTCGATGTATAATTTTCTCTTAGTGAATTGTTTCTCCCCCTCTTATCATGATTATTTTATTCAGCATGTATTCCATTACATATAATGTTATTTTCTTGTTTTTTTTTAGGAAAGGAGAAATCGCAAATCATGTATATGTTGTTTTAAGTGGTCGATTAAGACAAGTCGACAATATGCCTGATGGAGGTCATCGTATAGTCAGTGAATTAGGGCGTGGTGATCTCGTTGGTTTTCTTGAAGTCATAAGTCAGCAAACACGAATATCTACAGTTATGGCGATTAGGTATGGGAATTGCCTTGATCTCTTCACTTAAACTAATCAACTTCTTAATCCCTTTTCTTCCTAGTGATGATGAACTACATTTCCTTGACTAATGGAAACATTTATAACCATAATTCATGGTCGGTGTTTCTTGTTAAAATAAATACTTACGAATGTTAGTCAATTGCTTATCCAATACAGATTTTATTCTTGTTAAATCGTGTTAAAAAAATAATATTCTGTTTCTTTATCCGTTTAACTAAGAATATCTGCGTTTTAATGATTCATTTGAAATATATCTGTGAAGACAGTCCACGGATGAACTCGAGGAAGCCCTATGAAGCTAAGAAAAAGCCGATAATATTCCATCCAACCATCTTGTGGGAGAATATTCCAGAGTCCCTACGTGGAGCTTCCCTATTGGACAAATGCTAATAAGCGAATTGGAAGACTATAATGATGATTTCGTTTTTACTAAAAACCATAGATACCTGACAGCTTTGTACCACAATTGACACTGTTTGGAATACCATTCCTTTCACTTGTCTTCTCTCTTCTCATTTGCGACTTGGGAGTGTTCTAGCGTCGAGTGCTCAAGTTATACGCGACATAGTAAAAATCTAAGCTCTAGATATAACAAATCTCCTGCACTCTTGCAACGTTTCTCAAGGGGTATAGAAGACTACAGTTTGTTAGCATCTTCAACGGACAAAATTATATCATTGATTGTTACTCTAAACCACCATATCTGTAGGTGTAGACCTAATGGTTAAAGCCCTCACAATTGCCGTAAACTATGTTTTGGAGTATTGGATTACATGGTCTTAAATCGGTAGCATTATTTCAGTTGCCCTCAGTATCTTTCTCCTAATTTTGAGTTTACTGTCATTCCATACTTTTTATTCATCTATCTCATTTGTTTTCTTTAACCCGTATTTCTCATATTTGGATTGATATTTTGCGTAATGTCATTTCTCCTTCTGTGCTTTTCGTTTTGTTGATTTTCTCTATCTGTTTCTATGCTGATGTTAGTTCTTTCAATTTGACAAATACATATTCATTTAAGATTGCTCATGGATTATCAGTGATTAACTAATTAATATAACATGCAGTAGGAACATAGGCAAAGATGGATGGTGGCTAGCAGTGGAGTCCAGGATGCTCATTTTGTCCTATCTGGGACTCGTTAGCTGGATGTATCTGTATCCTAGTGTTGATGTTCACTCCGGGACTCGAAACCAGTACCATTCACCTTAAACACCATCGCATTATCCACTTAGCTACTGAGTCCTGATAGCCATTAGCTTTTGCAATGGGATGAGGTTTAAATTCATTTTATATTGTTTATTTGAATCTTCTCATTGATGTTTAGGACTGCAATTGATCAGTCTCCTATTAGCATATATACATCCTTTGCGAATTGCCTCGATATATTGCTTTAAGTTCGCAGGATGTACATATGCCAATAAGAGACTTATTAATTGCAGTCCTAAATGTCAATGAGAAGATTCAAATAAACAATATAAAATAAATATAAAATAGAACTTCTGTATTAATTATAATTGTTTTTAAATAATCTTTAATGATGAACACCAGTTAAAGTACTATTTCCTTTCGAAATATTTAGTTAATAATAATTTTATTGTAATTTGGAAGAATAACATTCAGATGATTATTTGATAATAATACACGTGTTATAACAAATGATATTTATTTAATAAAATTCTTATTTCATTTTGTTATCACGAATTATTGTAAATATTGACTAATAAAATTTACTTACTTTATCATTGAAAGAATAAACTAATTATTACTTCAATAGTTGAAATCATGAATCAATTGAAGCTAGACCACCATGGAAAACCTGGAAACACTGGACGGCCTTTTCGTCCTAGTATGGGACTCCTCAGCAGTGCGCATCCACGATCCCGCCTACCGCGAGATTCGAACCCAGGACCTATCGATCTCGCGCTCGTGCGCTCAACCAACTAGACCACTGAGCCGGCATCCAACGGTGTTAATGTCTAACTTCAACCAATCCACGAAATTGCTCCACTGTACACCTTTGTCTATTTTTTCCTGACATAGGATAAATAGAAATTATCTTTATTAAGAGTAAACAAATAAATAGGATGTTAAATCAATCAATAAAGTAAAAATAAAGCATATTTATTGTTTAAATTCACTTTTCCATGATATACATGTAGATTGTATTTTTTTACAATTATCAACAAGGAGTTTTAAGCTATTTTGTGAAAATATAATATGAAAAGATTATTTCTAATGTTTTCTTTGAGATGGTGAAAAAAGTTTGTTAGCTAGTGATTATGGTGTTCTCCATAAGAAAAAGGAAAGTTTCATGATTGAATTATCCAAGTTAAAGAATGAAACTTCATCAAAATCTTAACTTATTTTTTTATTTAAAAAAAATAGTTTATACATTACTGAACATCACATTGATTAGTAGTGGTAAAAATATTTCAGAAATAAAGTTTAATATTTATTTATAAATTTATGAATAATTTTCTTTTCTTTTTAATTTTATAAAATAGAGATTCAGAATTGGCTCAAATCCCTTCACATTTACTTCATTATCTTAAGAATAAATTTCCACAAGTTTTAACTCGTATTATTCAATTATTATCGGATAAATTATTGGGTAATTTAACAACTAGTTCTAGTACGGCTAGTCAATTGGGTATGCCACTTCTACATATGACTAGTACAAATTCTTTAGTTACTGGTGGATTAGGTTATACAACTGGTGGGAATTCTAAATTGGATGTTTTATATAGTCCATTAAATAGTGGTGTTATGACTAATCTACGTACAATCGCTGTATTACCTACTACAACTGACATTAATGCTGAGGCATTCACTTTGGAATTACAACATTCTATGAGTTCGATGGGATCATCTGTTCGTCTTACTTCAGGTACTTAATGATTTTTCTACTTCATCGTAATTTAATTTATATTGGTAAACTTGAATGGATTTCTTCTATATTTGTTGGTTTTCATGTGTTTACAAATTTATAGGTTTATTTTTGTTGTTGATAAATTGATTTCAATAAGATTTTGTGTTATCATTATCTATTGAATTTAAGTACTATTTCAACGTATTTTGTTAATTTCTTTCCTGCTTAGTACGAATATCTTGTTTGGCATATTCATTTTTATAGATTCTGTTTACTTGTTGAGATGATAAATAGAACACTGGTCGATTTATAATCCTACATGATACAATGTGACTGTGTAATAAGCTCTAAGGAGAATAAATCCTCTGGTTTTTTGTATTCTTCGAAACTACCTAACTTCATGGGTTATTGAGTATATTCCTTTTTCTGTTTTTTCATTCAACAAGATTGAACGCTTTATTATGAAATTATGTGATAAAATAGAAATGATTGGTAGTTACTGGGTGTGTAGTCAGTTCACATGAAATACTATCCAAAGGTTTTGGAATCAGGTTTCTGTACGTCTTATTGATTCATATACATAAAAATAGTTCTTTTCGAGAAGTGTAAAACACTCAATTTACATTATTTTATGGTCACTTTACTTACTGTTGATCGGTATATGTGTGCTATAAGACATTTGACCTAAAGCTTCAAATAGTCGGTTACTTTCCATCACGGACAGAAACTAGCTTCGGAAAATAGTTGTATCACTTAATCGTTTCATTTTCTAGCTTTAATCTCGTCGGAGGTACACAGCTATCACCCTTCTATAAATCGAACTCTCTCAATATTGGAAACTAACTTCAAACTGAGTAATATCCACATACCTCTTACATTAATATTAAAATGTTAACTGGTGACTAGCTTTGAGAATTGTCGATGTTCCGGTAAAGAGCCTTGAACTATGGAGTTCACATATATCAAGATTAGAACAGGAAACACTGATTGGGTTAAATGATACTGATGCTACGTTTCAAGTTGACTGAATATTGGTTTCAGACTGAATGGTTTAAAAGCTTTGTGCTCCCAGCAAGACCTGTAGTCCTTGCTTTTTTTTCTGAGGTTGAGAGTGAGGATTGCTGCGGAGTTCCAAATTGGTAAAGAAGAATTATTCTGTGCTCTATGATTTTCACTGGTTCGGTAACGTATTTCAATAGCCAAATTAAAAATGAAATATCCCTAAGTAATTACTTACTCCTTTGAAAATTTAGAACTTTAGTGTATTTTGATGTATAAATCCGAATACTATTTTTCGGGCTTTATTCAATTTACTTATCATACCCAATTCAGTAGCTGTGTATGATTACTTAATAAGTTTATTCTAAAGTTTCGAATTCTATGCGTGAGTTACAGAAACAATTATTTCTATTAAATTATATCATTTCAGCACACAATAAGTAATTACAATTTTTCATATTCATTCATCGTCACATAAACTAAATATTTAGGTATTTATTGACATCATATTTAACATTCCTTTCAATAATTAAAAAAGTTATTTTAATTTATTTATTAGAACTTTATATGCTAACATCAATATCCATCATTTATACATAAGATTATAATTAATTATTTTCAATAAATGTATTCAATAATCTGAAACTTTTTCTATGTTATGATATGATTTTTCATTTAACTTTCTATTAAATTATGTTTTGTGTTATTCGATATATGTATGTAATATATATTTATTTATAGTAATGTACAAATGTTTACAACATAACTATGTGCATAGTTTAACACTTTCTTATCAGCTAGTGATCATATCACAAGTTATCAATATTCACGTGGGACGTGATATTTACATTAAGTTGTCTTACATGCGTATTGTTTTTGTCATTTTTCACATCATTCGAGCAATGATAATACGTAGAATACCATTGTTTGTTTTTCCAAAGGTTATATTCTATTGATAAACATTGATTGTGGTTTTTTTAATGGTTTATACAAAATTGAAAGTAATGATTTTGTAACGAGAATTAAAAAGTTTGAACGATTACACGTAGTGCATTTAATACATTTTTCTTTTCCATCCATTGTAGCCCAATTTTTATAATTATGTAATATATAATTGTCCGTCTTTAACGGATTTCACTAAATGTAAACTTAGTTTTTTTCCACTGAACATATTCAAGGTTAACTCTAATTTAGAACTTGTACAAAGATGTTGCCTAATAGTTGGAGCATTCAACCAATAGGTCTGAAACTCGAATCTTGTTTGTTTATAATTATATACTGTTATTGTTATGGTATAGCCTACTTTAGTACTTTTGAACGAGATTGTAAATTCTTAAGGACATTGGTGGTAATTCACTTAATTTCTAGTTGTTATCAAATATCAATATCACGCTAATCAAATATCTAAAATCATTAATTTGTTCTTGGAAAATGTTATAATTCTATTCAAAAAATTAAATCTATCCTCTGTAAACTTTCGATGTTTGTTTTCGCAGTTGTCACCTATTTAAGAATATGTATTTTTCTTGGGTAATTAAAATAATATTACACTAGCTTAATTTAAATTGAATATCTCTGTTATCTCTTTGGTATTTTAATCCTTTCTCCTTCACTAAAAATAAATCCAATTAGATTACTTAATATTCTACTGATTATTTTCATATTCTACACATCGATTTTTTATTAAATTTTATAGCCAATGAAATAAGACGGATGTGTCCATAGTTTACGGTTTTTGACTATATTTCGTTCTCTTTCTCACAATTACTATGAATAATCTGTAAAAGATTAAGTGACCACATTAAGACTCTAACCATACCGATTCGTCTTTTTTTATAAATACGATTGCGTGTATTTATTTGTTTAATTTTTAAGTTCCTAGTTAAAAAAATCATACCCATGATAAACTAGAATAAAGCACTTTAACATTGGTTATCATCCATATTGTCGTCATTATTATGAGTATGGTTATTCGTAGCATCCCAATTGATGTTAGGCAGTTGAAGGTATTCAAGAAAATTTTTAAGGATTTAGATTTAATACTAATTGTAACACATCGATATGGTATATCTGAAATTTTAAAAGGATTGTTGTTCCCTGCTAGATTTGAACCTATCTTACTGAGTGCCAAAATCATTGATGAAACTACTGATATAATCTGGCTGTAATTGAATTGATGTAGTAGGCCACTAGTTAGTCTCCTAGGTGTGGGGAGTCATGTTCCACTAAAAACATCAGTTTGTACAAAATTACAGATACACTGCTGAAAAATACCAACTAGTCTGAAACTATGATATATCTCTTCTAACCGATTTCCCTTAATTGTCCAACGCTAAATAAAGTACAATTCAATGTGAGACACATTGGTCAATGTTCATATTTCTACTTGATCAGTAGCCGCTCTATAAACTGTTAACAGTATATAATATTGCATTGATTACTATTTAGTGACCATTTAGTGTACCGCCCTTCTCTAATAATATTCTTTGGCAACATAGGTACCCAATAAAAATGATATATAAACTGTCATAAACCCAACAAACGAGTGTTATATTGCTTAATTATTCTAACAATTTTGTATATACTAATATCTTTACTTTTTGTTGTTTTGTACATAGATATCGTACTGAAACGTTTAGGTTCATGCGCATTCGATAGCGTTAGCCAGTATAGACTTAGTACTTGGCTAAGTCATCAAGAAGACTCACATCGTATTGTTTTCTTTGTTTGTGACTGTCAGCGGGTTTCAGCCTGGAATCGTATATGCATTCGTCAAGCTGATTGCATTTTGGTTTTAGCTTTGCATTCGTCTGATCCAGCGCGTCCCTCACCAATAGAGATGGCATTAAAAAATGACCCAACGAAGGTGAGTCCGTTTTTTATGTAGTATAATGCTGGTTACTTGTATGTTTTTCATGTGAATAAAAAAGCATCCTATTTGTTGTTTTTCTTTTACGTAGGTTGCCAAGGTGCTTATTCTTATGTATCCTTTAGATACAGATTATACAGAATCCGGTAAAACTGCAGTATGGTTAAATGCTCGACCATGGATTAGTCAACATTATCATATACGTTGTGAACCTCGTGTATTTATACCTCGTTCAAAGTTGAATCTCATCAATTTTTATACTCAAGTATTTGCTCGTGAAAAACCTAATCCACTATCTGATTTCTCTCGTCTTGCTCGTTACATAGTAGGTGAAGCTGTTGGTCTTGTTCTAGGTGGTGGAGGAGCAAGAGGTTGTTCACATGTTGGACTGATACGCGCTTTTCAAGTGAGAAATTGCTTTTTTATGACTTTTGTTAACACGTACGTATGCTTTACACTTCAGTAGTAATGTTAATAACTAAATTGTAATTGTAAAATCTAGTAACTACTATGTTTATATTGAGATTCCTTTTTTAAGAAATAATACTACGGTTGCTACGAGTAACTGGAGATGTAATGTTTCAGTAAATAAGTACAAAAATAAATTATATTGTTAGTAAAAATAATTTTAAAATTTTCTCTTAGTTTAAGCTTTTTCAGAAATACCTATGAAAATGTGTTACTTATTGTATCACAGGCTAAGAAATAGTTTCGTATTTCCATATACATTGTAAGTTCATAATCTCCCGTCTTTTAATAATATATCAAAAATCAAAGCAATAAAGTCTTTAAAAAAGGTACAAGTTTATATTCTGTTGATAAACCAATGTTATGTTTTTCAAACACTTCTAAAGCTTATGGTGTGTAAGTAGCTATCTAATAATTCTCTCTTGTTAGCAACTGATAAATAAACAATAAAAATAGATAGGGGATATATTAATATTTTAATGAATTGGTAGACGATTAAAACGACCTTATTCTCGCTATTTGCATCAGTCATTCAAGAATTTTAATTTAACTATTTCTTGTAGAGCCCTGTAACTACTCTGGATTACAATTTGATTAGTATTACAAATTACTTGTACCAATACGAATGCGCATATATTAGATTTATGTTTTAAAACCGACTAATTCGGTATCATGTAATTGGTTTATGTCTTTTTTAGTCTGTTCTTACAAATGTAACCACAGTGATCAAACGTAGTCGCCACATAAAAGATTTCGAAGTCTGTTTTCATCACCTCAGTCAGCTACAACGTAGGACCAGGCACATATATGCATCGGTCCTGGTTGCCATACCTAATTAGCACAGCAAGATGAACACCGGATTCATAGGAGTGGTTAGGTTAAAGGTGGTAATATATAGGAGAAAGATTGTATATAAGGAAACAGTACCGGAATATAGAATTAGTTCGTAGAAAGAAAGATATGAAGCGATTTTAATCTCTTAGTTTAAGGGAAGACAGGGAGTGTATACACCGACGCCATTGTGACCGATTCTGAGCCATGTCACCAAGAGTCTCCAACCATTGGTTACGAAAGTCACGCGGACCCCAACCAAGTAGTCTGCATCTACCAACATGGCTCAGACTAGAGGTTAGTGTCTTCAAGCACTGATGCCACGTTTTGGTTTGGTCGCCCCTAATTCTCTTCCAACCATCTCTAACACCCGTTAGCATTGCAAGACGTGGTAATCGATGTTCAGGCATACGTAACACGTGGCCCAACCATCTCAGTCGATGAAGATTCATAACCTCATCAACTGATTTACCATCATTACCTAATACCCTGCGTCGGACCTCACTATTACTTACCCGGTTATCCCAGCAGACGCCAGCAATATTTCTAAGGCATCTGTGGTCAAATACTAGTAGCTTACGAGTGTCTTCTACTCTTAAAGGCCATGTTTCGCTGCCGTAAAGTACGACAGAATGGACTGCTGCGCAGTATACTCGTCCTTTTATTGATAAACGGATATCTCGCCTTCTCCATAAGTGACGTAAGTTGGCAAAAGCCAAACGAGCTTTTCGAATCCATGCTGAGATTTCGTCCGATACCAGCCCATTAGGGCTGATCAGACTTCAAAGATAAGTGAAGTTGTCAACGCGTTCGACTACTTTACTCCCTATCCTTAGTTCAGGTGTTGACGCAGACCAGTCCTGAATCAACAACTTGGATTTAGAGGGAGAGAAGCGCATTCCAAACATTCTGGCATTGTTGCTCAGTGCTACTAAAAGACTCTGCATTTTATCAGCGTCTTCACCAAACAGGACTATATCATCTGCGTATTCTAAGTCGATAAGTGGACCTCCTGGAAGGAGATGAATACCCGAGAACTCAGTCGACGAGAAAGTTATTTCCATCAGTAGATCTATGATGAAGTTAAACAGAAATGTAGAAAGTGAACATCCTTGACGGACACCACTTGAGGTTTCAAAAGTAGATGACAGTTCGCCATAAGCTCTGACTCGACTAGTAGTGTTCGAGTAAAGAGTTAAAATACATCATAGATAAGCTATAAATATTATCATCTAAATAAATCATATTTAGTGGTATCGTTTTAATGATATTGTTTATTGTAGTAAATTATCAATCTATTATACTGTTTTATAGGATGTAAAATATTCTTAATTACCCATTAATATCTGAATTGTACGGGGAATCATTAAACTTTTTACTTGTAAGATTGTACAGGTAATTGTGTGACTTTTTTCTATTTAGAGATGATATTTATTTTTGAAGATATTTTATTTTTTAGAGGGATATTTAAATACTCGTAAAAACTGAATTATATGTTACCGTCTCGGGGTTTGTGTAATACACATAGTTGTGATTATTTTTAATCTTATACAGTTCACTAATCGAAGTCAAAGAATTCAGAAGTAAACTAAATTGAAATTCTTGAGTGAAATAACATTTTTCAATGATATATGATCTCGTTTCTGTGTAAAGCAAACTTCACTTAGAAATTAATAACCATATGACCGTAGAAAACTTGTATTAAAATTATAGTATTACTTATGATATGAGCGGTATAATTATTGTTTTGAATTATCATTAAACATGCTTAAAGTTTGTTAGCGTCACGTTTTGTTATTATGATGTTTTCGATAAATTTCGCTTTAATTAAACAGGAAGCTGGGATTCCAATTGATTTAGTTGGCGGTACAAGTATTGGCTCTTTTATGGGTGCTTTATGGGCTGATGAAACTCGTGTTGCACAGTTTACTCAAAGAGCTAGAAATTTCACTAACTGTTTCAATTCTATATGGAAAAAAATAAAAGACTTCACTTATCCTGCAGTGTCGATTTTTTCTGGTAAGAACTTGAATTATATATATATATATATATATATATATATATATATATATATATTACAGTAATATTTACGTGGATACTTATAAATATTGGGTCAATTAAGACATTTTATGTGGTTGTTGGATTTTTACTGTGTGCATCATGAATTGATCGCTATTGAAAAACAGGTATCATTAGACTACTGTTTCGTTCTAGTATAGGACTCTCCAGTAGTGCTCATCCCCGACCCAAATAGAGGCCTAACCTAGGGCCTTCAATCTCACGTCATCCATCGCTTTTTAATTTTTTAATAGTGGTCTAGCTAAAATCAGTTCGTGTTGTAAACTGTGCGAACACAAATATTAGAAAAGCGATACTACAGAGGTGAAGAAAAAATAAGCTATGTGAAAATGTTTAAGATTCTTTATTATATCTTACTCAGCTAAACATGAGACAGGACTATTACCAATTCCCCTCTCATACAGAACTTAGGATTCTTATTCATAATCCCTATGATTTCTGCTATATTTAACAGGTGATATCGAACCCCACTATTGAAACTTGAAAGTGTACGGTAAATCTCTATAAATGCTTTGTTTTTGTCTTCACCTTGACCACTACAGACCAAGTTAAATAGGACAGAGTTGTGAATTGTTTTTTTCAGTCCCTTTCTAAACCACAATTGAAGGTTGTCTGTGCTAGGTTTGAAACTACCACGAGTTCACTTAATCTGCGAACAAGAACAAGACTCGGTGACCAAAGACCAGTAAGCTAGTTATTGATGCGTCCCAGCCCCGCTAACTAGAGGAAGAAGTTCAAGCTTGGAATGGGAAATATATTCTGCAAAACAGCCAGAAACGAGCGATAACAACATATACAATTCAAAACGTATATATACAGTGCAAAACCGTCCTTGGGGAGAGTTACCAAATAGCATACTAAAAGACGCAACGGACCAATAGCATTTAAGATATTTCCCAGTGGGAAATACGACGTGAAAGTGACAAGAGCGCTTTCGGCGCGAAAACAAAGACATTCAAATTTTCTAGATAAAATTACAAAATTAGGTCCTTTTCCAAGTGAATTCTGGGGATCTAACATCCCCAATAGTCTGGTCGTAAACACAACATAGTTTTGTCCCCAGAAGCAGCTGAATTCGTAAATGCAAATAACTTCATTTATGGAACCTTCATAGGTCAACCAGAAAATGACAAATAGATGTTAACTGTATTGAAAACCCTTTTCACCGATCTAGCTTGTTTATTGTGCCACACATCTCTAGCTATGTCTTCGTCGAATATGAGCTTTATATTAGCAAAACGAGAGACAATTGATAAACATTCATGTCTATAATAATATAAATCCATTTGTTTTTATTATATATAACATTATTTTATTGCTTGCCTAAGTAAATTTCTTATATTGGTGGTACACTTGTACTATTTCCTAAAATATGCTTACTGTGTGTAAACAGTAGTTAAATAGCAGTTTTATTTTTTTTCATATTTATTTATTCTAATTATTTACTCAGAATCAGTAAATAAAATTAACTATGGTTTAAACATCCTTAGGCTAAAATGTGTATATGTGGGGATTACTTCGATTATATAGAAAATTATGTTCTTATCATAAATAAATAAATAATTGTTCCGTATTATTGATAATTTTAATATCATCGGTTGCAGATTATTTATTTATTTGAACACATAAATATTGGTAAGAGGGGACACCAAATACATATGCGCCACACAAAACAATGAGAATAGGAGGTGAAGAATGCAAGGTGCGTATGAGGAAGAAAAAAGACAAGAAAAGAAACACTAACGACCACAGATTAGTGTACGGTAATGTAATAATAATAATAATGGGGGAAACGGAAAGGTACAACCAGAAAAAATTCCAGTTAAGGAAGTTATGAGGGAAATAAAAGAAGGTTACAGCAGGATCGCCACCGGCTTCTATTCTGAGCCATATCTGATAACGTCTCTAGCCGCTGTGTCGCACCATCTCTCCGACTCCAGCCAGGGAGTTGAGATGGACCAACAGAAACCAGCCCTTTGCAGCTTTCTTTCATACCACGACACCATGTCATACACTGACCACCTCTCGACTCTTTCCAACCAGTCCCAGCGTCGGCAAACAATGCACGACGTGGAATTCTCCGGGACGACATTCGTAGAACATGTCTAAGCCACTGAAGTCGAGGTTTCAAGATAATGACACCAATTGAATTATCGTCGCTGTGCCCGAACACACGACGCCGAGCCTCTGCATTACTAACATGGTGTTGCCACTGGATGTCATCGATCCTTCGGAGACAACGTTGATCAAACACAGAGAGTCATCTAACATCGTCAACTTGGAGAGACCAGGTTTCCCAAGCATAGAGCAAGACTTCTCTCACCGACGCGTTGTAGATACGACCTTTTGCAGCCAGACTAAAATCACGAAGGCGCCAAAGATGGCTCAGATTGGCATAATCCTCTCTGACTTTCACTATGCGTGTATTGATCTCATCACTCACGTCACCACCAGCACTTGTGTAGCTACCTAGATACACGAACTTCTCGACTACTTCTATCTGCTCACCACTCAGGGTGAGTGCAGGATCAGGATCCTGTCAGTCTTGTAAAAGTAGTTTGCACTTCGAAGGTGCAAAGCACCTACCGTACCTACGGACACTGATTGCCAACTGATTAAGTGCGGATTGCATGGCTTGGGCAGAGGATTGAATATACGAATTTTATGTTATTTTAAAGAATTAATTTTTATCCAACTGGTTAAATAAAGAATTTCATTCATTCAACGATTGAATTATGTTAGCAAAATATTTTGTTTATCAAGTATAAACTGTTAATACAATATTTTAAAAGCGTAATATATTCCATACTATCTGTAATCATAATGTTAATTATCGTCTGATATAATTAAATGCTGAATGTTTCGATTTATTTTCCTTTTAGATAACAATAGTTATTAATAAATAGTACTTTGATTTCATTTCATATTGAATCATTTTATGCACTTAGTAAAATGTATTTGATTGGGAATAAGTCAGTATATGAGCATGTATACTGTTGAAGAGAAAGCATTTAAGTGGAGTAAATTAATTCTATTCTGTAAATATTTCTGCTCTTGTTTTGTTTGTGGAGAGAATCAGTTGCTTGGGTTTGGATATGTGTTTCGTACGTTGAGTTACCTATCTATGTTAATTCATTACTCATTAACTGGAATATGAATAATTTTCGACAAGCATTCAGGGCCTAGTGGCCAGTATTCTGCGATAAAATCATTATTTGCTTATTCTAACCTTTGCCAACATTCTACACAAAATCCGCACTAACATCGTAATATACGGCTTAAGACGTTAGGTAGCACATGGTTCAAAAACCAGTCGTATCCACGCACTTAAATTCTTTAATGTCAGTTAAAATTTTGGATTGATTGCCATTCCATAATTTTCATTCTTCAGTTTTATTCGTCGATTTCGTCCTATAATCTTTAAATTTAGTTTTGCATTGTGATCGATTTCATTGTTTCTGCTCATTTACTTATAATCTTGTTAATATTTTGTGTTTATATATATGTGTATTGTGCCTATACACTCTTTTACTCGATCTTACGTTACTTATGACCAAACGACTATTAAAAATCAGTTACATCTGATGAAATTAATTAATTAACCTTATATGTTATTTTTCTATCTTGACTTTATTAGTGAATAGCTGGATCCGTAAAAGAGGAGATTTCTCTTATTATTTGCTATCTGTTTTATGTTATCACTTGTGAAATCTTGAACTGCCAGCCTTTTTTAAGAGTGAAAAGTGAATTTTCCTGGTTATTCTTGTATGATATCAGCGTTTTGATACATCGTTACACTTATTCGCTTTGTGATTTGTTTTTCAATGTAGTTAGTATTTTAATCAAATTAGTACTGCTTATATATATTAATTAAAGTAAATAATTTCAATTAGACTGATTATTAGTTACAAAATTAATGAAATGTATTCATTGTTTCTTAGGCATCAATATATATTTTCCAAGTATTTTACTACTGAAGTATGTTTTCTACTTGATATTTTTGTGATCTTCATAATGTACATTGAATTCTTTGAAGTTGAGAATATAAATCATAGTATTTCATTTTAGGGGCCTAGAGATATCACGTTCTCCAAGAGACCCAAATTTCTTGTGTATTTATTATTTTCAAATATTAATACTCTGTAATTTTATTTTAAATGGATTTTTTGGTGGAATATATACGTTCACTTGTATATTTCATGAATAAAGCAAATTACAATCTTAACATTATTCAGTAAATTCTACAAAGTCAAAAGATCCCTTACCCTCGGAAACAGTTTAAATAGGTCACCTTTATCGTTTGATTCTCTATTTATACATTTATTGTCATTATTTTAATAGGTAAAGAACTTAATCGTCAACTTCAATCGACATTTCATGACCGTCAAATTGAAGATTTTTGGCTTCCTTTCTTTTGTGTAACAACAGATATAACAAATTGTAAAATGCGTATTCATACACAAGGTAAAAATAATTTATCACATAGTAGTGATTTGTTTTATTTATTTTTACTATTTATATAATAATGTTTGGAAGCCATCGTGATGTAACAGTATTTTGTTACTGACTGAATTTGACTAGAAATGTTTATGTGTATTTTCAAACTGTCTGGTATCTACGAATCTTCTGAATAAACAGATGTTTGAAACAAGCTATTCAAACTAATCGTATATGCTCGTTTAGTACCTTTAAGAAAAAGAAACTTACTTTTTCATCAAATGATGAATTCAGGGGCATAGGTTATCGTCCAATATGATTAGGGTTGGTATTTCTCATGACCAAGTTTATTTTGTATTCCATATAATTGGTTCTATTTATGAATTTGAACAAAGCTAAAAAATAATTGAGGCTGAGTAAAGTGGATTCGTCATATTTTGTGGTCTCTCTTCAGTATAGTATAACTTAAAGTTATAGACAGTGTTCATATCTAAAGATATTTGTAAATTTAAACGCACACTTTATAGGTTAATCGAATGAACTACTTGTACTGGTACAATATATGCTTCTTATTTAACTAGTTTAAAGAATCACGGAAAAATCATTCCAGTTCACTCAAAAACTGCTTAATTCACTGTATTAATTCATCTGTGATACTCTTTGTATGAATATTAGTATCTGTTAATTTTCTGTTTCTTTTTATATAATCCTGTGTATAGAAGCTCACTGATTTATTAGAAATAATTGTACTTAATATAGTAATTGTTGTGTTGTCGGTTAGTATCTCATCATAATATCTCCTTTTACTGAGAGCGCTTATCACGTTCTGAACATATGTATTGTCATCTTATCTACTAAACTTATAATTTAACTTATTTGATATGATTATGGACATCATATCGGATTAAATATATGTGAAATAAAATCATCTTTAATGAATATCACATAAATCAATATATATGGTACAAATGGAAATATCTGATTTCCTTTGGACGTTTCATGAGATTCAATGAGCACTTGTGTTTAGGTTTCTATGCTTAATTGGTCGTATTGAATTAATGAAATGTTGTTTTTATTATTATTTTAATTTCTACCTGTTGTTGAATGAATTGCTTGTTTTAAAATTTCATAATTAGAATACTTGGATAAAGTAGATTCCTTAAACAGATTAAATTTTGAACAATAAAGCCTCCACTAAAGTGACATCTTTCTGCTTTACATTTACTTAGTAGGATATATCAGTAGTCATATTAAATATAATTGATTTCATAAGTTTATTTTAGATGTATTTTCAATTTATTGTCCGATTAAAGACTTCCCAGCTGTTCTATGTACAAATTTTATGATTTTCCATTTCTAAATTAAATTTGAATACTTTGTGGAAGTTGACTTGTTTTCTACCACTAGGGTGATCATTTCTCTTTCTGTTCTATAAATAACTCTATTTGTGGATCCACGTTCGTAGGAGTTTTTCCAAAGTCGTTTTTGATACTATTTTGTAGTTCCTTTTAGGATTAGTTTCTATATTTCTTATCCTACTATATTTTGTGTTTTATTCCATGTGATTTGTTTTGCCTGCTGCTCGTGGTCAATCGTAGACGTTATTAATTCACCTTTGATAAACTATGTAGATCGGTAGCTTATTTTCAAAAGAATAATAATGAATTTTTCATATCCTATTCATAATGACACTATTTAGGGTCTGTCTGGCGTTATATTCGTGGTGCTATAACATATCCACCATTGGACCCACCCATTTGTGATCCATATGATGGTGCCTTACTGGCTGACGGTAGTTTCTTGAACAATGTTCCAGGTAGTGTTGCTGTAAAACAATACCATCAAAATCGCAATTTATTTATCATAACATCAAAATCATTTCACTAATACATGGTGATTTACAAAGAGCGACATTATAATATGTCATCCAAATGAAATTTCTAATTCAGTAACAATAGATAGCATGCCCGTAAAAATGTAATCTGTTTATATTCACATATGCACAATAAATAGATGTCTAATAATTGAATCCGCTTACTAATCTTGCTATAAGAATATTGCTTTTTAACAGTGAATACCTATCTATTTATTTATGTTTATTGCCTAAAAATTAAATAGCTTTTTATTTTTTTCATTTCTTCCAATTGATTTCAATTAAACATTTGATGTTTCGAATCATTTTCATGCTTATTCACATTTTTACTTATTCATTGATTTATTAATATCTATATATGATGTGTCCGCATACACATGATTCGTACATACACATACATGTAGGATCGTCTTGGAGATATGTACGTGCAAGCATGTCATTATCTGGTTATTTGCCACCATTATGTGATCCTTACGATGGAAGTTTATTGTTGGATGGTGGGTATACTAACAATCTACCAGGTCAGTAATTTTTCATACAATTTAAGTAATATGTTCAGTTTTAGTCGTGATCTGTAAGTTTCAAATAAGAAAATTGTAATTTAACGGTGGTAATTATTTGATTGAATTTCAAGTCCAAGTGTGTAAAATCAGTTAATGATAATAAATATTTATTTACTTTCCTTGAACATTTTTTTTCATATCATATGTAATACTACCAGGAATCATAGGGCGGGACCCGAAATATCTCCTTAAATTAATTGACAACTCATACGTTACATTTGTTTTCTATAAGAATCAATTTCTAAAATGTTCTTTTATTGTTTACTAGTGATTATTATTTTCAGTAAAATGGAAATACTTCCAAACGAATATCAAACTTTGTTGATACGCTTAGTTAGACTGGATCATATGGGAATTACCTGTAGGGATGTTCTTTCGGTAGTAAAAGAACAAGCATATCCACACTATCAATCAGCTTGTTCAAATATTTTCAGATAGATTTAGTAGTAGTAATATTAGTAGTCTAGTAAGTTGTTTAAATATAATTAATAAATTTGTTTTTAACTTAGTAGCGGTTCTAATTTTGTTATTCTGAGAAGTTTTCTTTGCCTACAAAATCGTGGTGGGATCTACGTCCATTTTTAGGATGATAATAATATGACTGTGTATAGCTTATGTTTGTAATAACTGATTACTTTCATCAGTTTTGTTTAATATTTGTTCTGAAGTACTATATATGATTCAATAGCCACTACTCTAACAGACTTCAACATATTCAAGAAATGTATAATAATTCTATTTATAATCAGTAGTATCTTAATTTGAAGTAAGCCTAACTGTATCATGGTATAACGACATGTTACATATTTTCACTATTTTATTTAGTAGACTAATAGTATCGTTCTGTTTATACTCATTTTTTATTGGCAATTATTAACACACAAACCCAACACATTAAATTTCTTAACTTATATGGCCTAGTTTTTTGGTGCATCTATTTTATGGTAGATATTTGTTAATACATAAATAAATTTTCAGTTAGTCTGTTTGAATGAACTTGTTTAGTTTTGGATTTAAACTTGGCAATTATGGATTATTCAGTGAATAAGATTATCATCCGCTTATAAATATAATTGCAAAAAATGACAATTCAGAGAAGATTTTATTTTCATAAGAAAAAAAATGGACCTTAATATCATTATGGATCAATCGAATAGTCGTCATCAGTCATTTAAGTTCACATTTGAAGCAGAGATGAATTTAGAATTTCTTTTCCTTGGTATCTTATTGAGAAAAAGTCAGATAGTTCCTTACAAAAGTCTATATACACTCTACTAACTTGGATGGCCAGTATATGAATTTGCAAAACTAAATCCTGTTAAACAGAAAGAGAATCTTAATTCACTCTTTATCTTTGATTGTCGAGGTAATATGCTCCAATCACGTAATAGCTGATAAACTATTTAAAATTCAACATACACTCATCATAAATGGGTGCCCATCGAGATTCATGAAACTTTTAAGGTCTAAAAAGCGCTTGTTCGTTCAATTGTCTTTATTTTTTTCTTCAATGACACAATTGATTTGCTTCGTTAAATTTACAGAAAGTTCAAACAGTATTCATCACTGGTTATCAATTTCGACAAATCTTTAAGAGTTTTGTGCATAAAGTTTTATTTGCATTTGGTATAGTCAGTGTGTAGCACAAATAGTTTGTAGAAATATGTCTTTGAAGATATTCTGCATTTCAAAATTAGGTTCAATTACTTGGAACAATTTGGTGATCCCGTTCAGTAGTTAGTCACTAAATAAACCAGCCAATGTTTGAGCAGACAATAAATTTGGATTGATTGAAGTTAGACAATTACACTGTTAGATCTCGGCTCAGTGATTTAGAAGCCAAGCGTTCACACAAGACTGGCTTTGGGTTCGATTCCCGCGTTCGGGGTTGTGGATGCGCACTGTTTAGGGGTCCCATACTGAACAAAACGGCCGTCAAAAGTTTACATGTTTTCAGTAGTGACCTAATATTGGTCAGTTTATGATCCTAAATAAGTTCATAAATGTTTGTAACATTAATGATACATTGTTTCACCTTTATTTATTTGCTTCGTTTTCATTCAACATTTGTCTCGCTTTATAGTTTCTCTGATTTTATTTGGCATCCATATTTTGTCTGGTATCATTTAACCTCACCATCATCATCATCATAATAATAATAATAATCATCATCATCTTGTGCTTTGATTTGTTAGAATACTAATCGATGTTTGATTTAACGAATTCATTCCAATTGTTTAATGCTTATTTTATTGAATTCTATAGAGCAGTATATATATAGGGTTTGCTGTGATAGAATAGACTAGAATACAGAATATTTAACTGCATGTATCATTAACGGGCATACTAGAGATATTTATTACTCTTGATATGGTTATGCATGATTTAGAGAATTCTTTTTAGAAAATACCACTGTTTACTGGTGTACTACAACTTCAAGTTTCATTTGCTAATATTTTCCTTGGTTAAAACCAATTCAGTTATTAGGACCGCTTTCGAATTACACATACCAATTATGGTTACTACTGTCATACTTTTCTCCATAGCAATATTGAATTGTAAACTGCTGAATGCATTATGTTTAACATTTAAATAGTACAGAGTTAAGAATAGTGTTTATATTTTGTGTGTGGTAACAGTATTCTCAGTTTGTTAACAATAGATTTAATTTGATCGCTTAATTCGTTTTAAAAAAGTCCCATGTTCATTACTTATTTAAGTTTTTTTAATGAATTGTTTTGTTTCATTCAGCTGATGTAATGGTATGTTTCGGTGCGAAAACGATCTTTGCTAGTGATGTTGGTGCTGCTGTAGAGACAGAGCTTACAAATTATGGTGATCATTTATCTGGTTGGTATTTGTTATACAATCGATATTTCAGAATCGGCACTCCTGTACTACGTGTAAGTATCCAAGTCAATCTTTTTTGAAATCAATAAATATTTTATTCGTAAGATATTTTTTTATTTGTCATTCGATGAATCGGAAGAAGAAATCACGTTTTGCAGTCGTGAAAGCCATTTATTATTTTACACGTTTACATATGTTTTAAATAGTACATATCCACTTATTAATCAACATCAAGTTACCAATTACCAGTGAGCTGTTATTTCCTAATACTGATAGATTATAACTACTACTTGCGAAAATTACCGATAACTTAAATTCAAAAATTACACAATGATGTATCGATATCGTTGAAGGTTCTAGCCTAATCCACTCCTCGCTTGTATAGTCACTTTTGACTTGAAATTTTTTCTGAAGTAATTAGAAGTAAAATTTACTTACTTATTTACTTACGCCTGTTACTCCCAATGGAGCATAGGCCGCCGACCAGCATTCTCCAACCCACTCTGTCCTGGGCCTCCTTTTCTAATTCCATTCAATTCTTGTTCATCTTTTTCATGTCTATTTCCATTTCTCGGCGTAATGTGTTCTTTGGTCTTCCTCTTTTCCTTTGGCCTTGAGGATTCCATGTGAGGGCTTGTCTTGTGACGCAGTTGGGTGCTTTCCTCAATGTGTGTCCTATCCACTCCCAGCGCTCCCTCCTGATTTCTTCCTCCGCTGGGATCTGGTTTGTTCTCTCCCACAGTACGTTGTTGACAATAGTGTCCGACCAATGGATCTGAAGTATTTTGCGTAGTCAACTGTTAATAAACGCCTGTATATTCTGGATGATGGCTTTCGTAGTTCTCCAGGTTTCCGCCCCATACAGTAGAACTGTCTTGACATTTGTATTGAAAATCCTGACCTTGGTGTTGGTTGACAGTTGTTTTGAGTTCCAGATGTTCCTCAGTTGTAAATATGCTGCTCTTGCTTTGCCAATCCGCGCCCTCACATCTGCGTCAGATCCACCATGTTCATCAATGATGCTGCCCAAATATGTAAGGGTTTTTACATCTTCCAAATCTTCTCCGTCGATTGTGATTGGATTGGTGCATGCTGTGTTGTATCGGAGAATCTTGCTTTTCCCTTTGTGTATATTGAGACCTACTGCTGCTGATGCTGCTGCTACACTGTTCGTCTTCTCCTGCATTTGTTGTTGCGTTTGGGATAGAAGGGCCAGATCATCTGCGAAGTCCAGATCGTCCAACTGCATCCTAGATGTCCATTGTATCCCGTGCTTCCCTTCAGATGTTGACGTCTTCATGATCCAGTCGATCACCAGGAGAAAGAGAAAGGGTGAGAGTAAGCAACCTTGCCTAACACCGGTCTTCACTTCGAACGACTTTGTCAACTATCCTCCATGCACGATTTTGCAGTGTAATCCAAAATTTGATAAAACCTAATGATTTTGTTTTCAGTAAATGTTTGAGTTTGCCGTTTATATGTAATCGTAGTAGCACTGATTTGGATTTTGAATCATACTTCGTGATATTTTAAGTCACTTAATCTTATATTCTACATCCCATATACATAGTGATGTTGAATGAATAAATTGTTATTAAACTTAAAAATCTTTCATTTTAGAGCACTACGTTGTACAGTGACTATTTTTAAAATCGTTACCAACGTCAATGTACAGTGTTAAAAATATAAGTCTCAGAGATATCATTTGTCAGACATCTTAAGTCACCAGTTCTTATTTAGTTATTGATAAAAATCAATTGTATTGGTAACCACATGTTTGATCTCAGTGTTGTAACTAAATAAGTATGATACTGGATCCTCACTGGCTTCTATTCTGAGCCATATCTGATAGAGTCCCAAGCCACTATGTTGCATCATCTCTAAGACTCTAACCAGGTAGTTATGAAGGACCAACAGAAGCCAATATTGTACAGCCTGTTAGATTGGTTTTTGTCAATATGTCGCATGATCCTGACAAACTTTGTTTTGTTATTCCGCTATCCATATTTATCCAAAAGTTACAATTCCTACGAGATTTTTATGTATACTTTTCACTGACATACCATAAACATGTAAACTTTCACCATAGTGTAATTTACACAAATATTCGCGAATATTTGAACGAATCGTTTGATAGAAATTGTACACTGCATATATAAAAGAAATTATTTGTAAATATTATATTTATCATATCTTTTTTAAAAGTTCGGAGTAGTGATGAAAATAAAAATTAGGAAAGAGTATTCAACTTTTAACACTTAAATGTAAACTAAAAGTTTATCTTATCATATTCATATGTTAGTTTTAAGAAATAATAAAATATGAGTTTATAAGATGTGAATGTTGTGAAAAGTTCACAATGTGAAAAATAATGAATATGTGTTCTTTTATGTTATTAATAGTTAATAGTTAGTGAATAAATCCAATCTCTGTGTACTACCAATGACGTCTTCATTTTGTTTATTAAAATAAAATTACTAGTACAAATTGAAAGATGTTTTTAAAACTTGATTGTGTATGTAAAGGGATAAACGTAAAATACATAGTTGTGATGTAAAAAAATTCAAATTAGTTTGATATACATAAGGTGGGTTGTAATAAGGTTCAAATTACTTATAATTAAGCAGTTCCCAAGGGTTAGTTAGTTGAATTTCATCTTTTCTATTCAGACTGTACTGATTAGCCTAAATGTACAGAGCTTTTTCTGTTAGTATGCATCACACATGTTTCTACCGACTTATCGATATAATTGAAGTGCAGTTGAATGGTTGTCATATAATCACATGTGTTTTCTGTGAGGACTATGTGAGCATTAACTCAAATACTTGAAGTAAAGCTTAATAAGGAATTAATATATTCATTATACATCATAGAAATATATTCGATAGCGTATCAGTTGTGTAAAGAAAGTCAATAATTTGAAGGAAATCTTATTTATATAAAATTAGTTTTAAATGGTAAATGCAGCTAGTGAAAACTCATTTGGTATAATGTAACTCAGTTGTATACTTGTTCATCTTCAGTTTTACATTTTTATCTGTCCACCCTCATAACCTTCATTTCTTATGTATGACCTTCGAATCAGAAATTTTCTAAATATTCTTGACATTTTGTCCTGACACGCTATCTTTATCCCATTTTTCCTGTATCTAATCTAACTGCTGTATATTCTTTGCTTCTACGATATTTTAGTTCTGTTTTAGTGTACGTTCTTCAGCCCGCTTAAATTATACAAATTATTCATAACACTAAACGTCAACATAACTGTTATTGCAAAATAAACTCCCTATTAATCACTCATTTATTCTATGACGTCCGTTCCGATAGTGGAATCATGTCATAACTTGCGACTCTTGATCAGCTAGCTAGTGATATATAATATGTAATAATAATATCATCAGTCCCATGCACAAATCATAATACTCCAAGCTGATCATATTGAAGTAAATGAGCCATATATTGTGTTGCTATGATTTTTTTTGTTCTTGTGTTTAGTTTGTTTTCTGTAGCTCCAAGTTCCTTTTGAATCTAGTCATTATCAGTTATGTTATTTTAGCACAATGATAAGAATATCAAAAGATAAATAGCGGAAGAAATTGAACTTGTGTAATATCAGTGATTATGAGCAAAACGAAACATTAAAATGTAATTATAAATGACAAAAGATAAATAGTAAATGTATCTATGGGATTGTGAATGATTCTATGTTATCTCACTCTACCTCCTTGATTACTGGTCGTGCGGACTGAAATAAAGTAGTCTACATTGATCAAATATAGTTAATGTTTCCATAAAATACGTTTCCGGCTATAAATAATTCCATTAAATCAACAATAAAGTAGTTTATTTGTACAAAACTTATATTTGAATAGAATTTATTAATTTATTCTTTTTATTGTCAGTTAACTTCATTCATATTATCTATTCCAAAATGAAACTAGATTATTCATAGGTTTTAGTTTACTATGTGCACATATAAATAAGTACTCAATATTAATTAATCGAACATATAGGTATAAATGCCAAGGTTGGACTTGGTAGTTTCAAATAAATTAAGCGCTAAGTAGAGAGTTATCCTAATGAGTAGAAAAATTGTATTCCTGACATTTCATGACTTAATGTAAAGCACCTTCTTCAGAGTAAGTAAATAACTGGTTATTTAACAAGTGTTAATTGTTTTGGTTTGCAAAAATCTCTTCATAACTAAATTGAAGAGAATAGAGATATGTATTATACATGTTAGTAAAATTTACTGTCTTCCAAAATCTCTATTTTTTGTTTCCTTGTATGTTTTCGCCTATCACTTTGATGATATTTCTTCTTTTTTTAGTTACATGTCTTTTTCGCATTTTAGTCTGAATAACAAATTGATAGGATTTTCAATCATAATTATCGAATTAATTTTGCCGTTGTTGTTATTTTTCAAACTGTAGATCCCAAGTCTAACAGAAATTCAGGCTCGTCTAGCTTATATTTCTTGTGTACGACAATTGGAATATATAAAGGCCAGTGGTATATGTTTTTATCTTCGACCACCGGTTGATAAGTATTTAACTCTTCAATTCTCTGCGTTTGATGAAATAGCTGTGAGTTATTTGCTTCTGTGTCATTATTATTATTATTATTATTATTTAGTTGTGTGAATTTCGTATTGATGAACTTAAGTATTATATATAAACACAATCTCAGTTTAAGATGCGATTCATGCAAATCATAAATCATTTTATCATAACAGAGTTTTCTGGAGATTGTAGTAATTTAATATTATCAGAAGTCATGATCAGTGGAGTACAACCGTGTCGGGTGTGAGGCACTTACCTACCGAAGACAATGGAAGATAGTCGCGCAATATCGTGGATTGATTGAAGTTAAACATTAACACCATTGGATGCCGTCTCTGCAGTCTAGAGGTTAAAGGCTCGTGTGCGAGACCGAAGATCCTGGATTTGAATCCGGTGAGCGGGATCGTGGATACGCACTTCTGAGAAGTCCCAGTACTTCCATGGTAGTCTAGCCTCAATTGACTCATGATCTCAACTGTTGATATTAAATTATTTATTTACATTTATGATATTCCTTTCTCATAGTGAGATTATGTCCTCATATGTGTTATCTTATTATCTCTGTTTGATGCTAAGAGGTGACTTTGATCTTCCAGAAACTTTAGAAAACACTAAATTTGGTCACACAAATAGTTATTATCCAGTCAAATTGTGATACATGATTCTTACTTTTTCCAGATGTTACTAGGATTTTTCTTATCCGACGCCTCAGTAAATGAAATTATAGTTTCGTTTAAATGTTCATTCCAAAGTGCTTTCTTTTATGTATCAACGTTAAAATATTTCCGCTCCCAACTGATTCATAAAAAAATAAATCTGTTGTTTACTATCACTACGAGGTTTCAATATTTATCGTCAGGATCGTTCAGGCAATAAAAAAATGTGTGGCGGCGGTGTAACTTCATTCGTAAATATGAAGTGGTATCGATCTACTTTTGCGTGTTTTAAGTTTTCAAACAACATTTTTGACTGTGTAACTTTAAGATGCCGTTCAAAACACTTGATTAAATACAATCATGTTCATGTTACCAACATCCCCGTGACTCTAGACTGCACATCACGTGCACTAGTAAATTCACTAAATTCGCCGTTACTGCCTTTAGTGGTTCACTTACAATTGTATGTAGTGATTTTAATTCTTGTGACTGTAGCTTCCTTTCATCACTAGGTCAGAAAAATGTAGCCGGTTTTCGCGCTCGTTTAGCTGCTCATTTATACTTAGTTTTCATTAATTATGTGGAGATATAGGTGACCCGTATAACGTTCTTGATTGCATTATTCGTATTCTACCTAAAACATATGGCAAGCTTGGAAAAAACACTCTTACATCTGACAAAAAAAGTCAAATACAGAAATTCCTCAGGAGAAAATATCTAAAATCTAGAAACCAAGTTTTGTGCGGCGAACTGGGAAGTATTTACAAATGAGTCACTGGCAAACACTACTGATATTATTACTTATTATCTGGAATTCTGTTTTGATGTTTGTTGTCCCACTGAAACCATCTTTTCAAGTTTTGATCGACTTACATCTCCACAACTAAAACGATTATGAAGGGTAAAAAATAATATACAGGGAGGAAACTTCATGGAAGCTCGAAATATAAATGGTCTAATAAGTCTAAACATTAGATGTTTGAACCATTCGTTTACTCTAAGACTTCTATCTTAATAGAACTCCTCAAGTATGTGGAAACTATTTAAAGAGCTTGCAGGTGGAAAACACATTAGGGGTGATACTCAGCTGGATGTCTGTGACTTACATAAGTCCTTTGCCCTTAAGGCAACTGATGTCATGCTGCCGATATTCACAGGCTCGAAGAATGGTTGAGTTCCGATTTCCACTGAAACTGATGTCAGAAAACGTCTACCGTCACTCAACTCATCCCAATGCTTATGGCCTGATGAAATCCCTAATCTCCGTTTTGAAAGGCTGCTGACGTCTTATATCACCCACTCACGAGCATCTTTAACAAATCCTTCTCAACTTATGTCATACCGAAAATGTTAGTACGATCGAACAAGATAAATGTTGACCTTCTTGAATATCTGGGCTACCTCTCTAGATATTTGAACAAGTTATTCGTTTTTGCTTGTTTTAGCACATCATTATGTTTCTCAATCGCACAACCCATTAAGGTGCACTTGTGAAAAATTTACAACCTTCCACTGTACGAGTTACAAAAAAGCCCAACTAGAGACATCATGGTTGCTGGAAATATGCAGCGAATAGAATGAACATTACTTAGATGTCTCACACTTAATCCGTCTAAATATCAAACTGCTAACTTTAGCCTGGAACATGAACAGCACTTAAGCACCCTGTTGGAATCCCATTAAACTTGTACTGTTTCAGATTCCTTAATAAATACAATGTCGAAGGTCATTTATCTTGGTATAAGTTTTTCCTTTGATCTCTCTTGGTCTCCTCATGTTTTATTGCTATTGGAGAAAGTTTTTCGTCTGACTTATTACATAAAGAGGCTGCATGATTTTGTCATTACTCGATATTTACTCTTTCTATATGTTAATTATTGCATGTCACCTATTATTCTTTACTGTTCTGCATTATTCTGTCTCAGGCTTTGAGAAAACACTTTGCTCTATTGAAGAGTGCTGACGATAGTTAGCAGGGTGTGTAACAAATATTTCAAAGTCATTAATTATATGGTTGTGGATAGACATCTAATGTACAAACTTCTGACAGGTGTTGTCTTATCAGAAACTAACTATTCACTTCATTCATATCTTTCTCCTTGTATATCTTCTATTAGAATGAGACGTCAATACATTAGAATACACGCACGTAAACGAAGGTATAAAGCTCTACAATACCTTATCTAGCAAATATACTGTATGATGAACAGGTTGTTAGGGCTGACCTAGTCAGTAACTTGTGTTCTTAATTAATTGAAAAAGTTGTACAGATTCAAATCTTGAAAAAACCCCATTTCTTTTGATTCCGGGTTGTTTATTTATTGAATGTATGTATTTATAATTATACATTTATCGGTTTTTTCTTTTGTTTTGCATAAGAAATTTACCAAAATACCTTGTGCTGATAAGTCTGTATTGTACCAAATAATAATTATATTAATAACAAATTAGTGATTGAATTTAAAGTTTTACAATAATTAAAAGACCACATATAGTTGAAACAAGTAGAATTTTTCAGTAAACTTTTTCTATCAGGTGATGTAACACATTTGAACTCTACTACCATTACCACTACTATAAAATAACAAGAAAGAATCAAATCTTTATAAAAAATATTACTTAACTAGCTTATTTTTCTTATAGAATGTTGGCTATGATTACATTAAATCTATACTTAATACTTGGCACGAAGAAGGCCGTTTACAAAATCTCATACCAGGTGTGAAACTGCATATTTCCTCTTCGACTGAAATATCTACATGTGAGATAGATCCGTCAACTACTCAGTTAACTCCAGTTCATTCAACAGCAACTGATAACTGGTTAACTCAGGTTAGTAAAATGTTATATATTCTTTTATGTTGGTTCTACATTTCTACTGATAATTTACTTATATACTGGATCTTTACCATATATATACATTATTTTATAGCAAAGTCGTCAAAATCTTTTTTTTTAATTACATAAATCAAGAGATATAATGTGATTTATATCGGAAAAAAGACCGACTTTTGTACATTATTATATCGTTTGTTATTGTTTAAAATGTATTTTATATGCCAGAGTATAAATCAAAATCTTGTATGAATTAATCAAATTACTACTTAAAATTCTTATATACATCACTTATTATTCTCATATAGTATATTTTGCTTTAATGAATATTTTAATATGAAACGCACTACACAATCATATACATCATGACAGTTCAATTAAACTATTCTATCAAAAGAATTCATTGAAAATATCGGTATTAGTACCGTCATGTCTTCTTTGATTGAAATAGTTGTAACATAATTTAACATGTTTGTAATTGATTGTACAATTCATTTTGTTGTAAAATGTTTGTAGTTGATTAGTATATTATCTTCATTGGCTCATTTATAGAAAATTGATTTCTAGAAGAATTCTCGAAACAAAAAGGTTATAACTTTATTTTTCTGTAAATCCATACTGAACGGTCGAGTAGATCATAGTAGAAATCTATCGGCTATCCTTAGATTAATGATTATATTTTCAGTGGAGTTATACATTCAATTATACAAATACGATTTTTACTATTGGCTAGTTTTATAGATTGATTATCTTTTTTTATGAATAGAATATCTCTAAAGCTGTGTATAGTTACTCCTACTAACTGATACAATATGTAGATATGGTAACTATACAACTTTACAAACTTGCAATTTTGGAAACATTATCTTAAGCTGTATGTCTGTATATGTAACATCATCTCAAAAAATTGAATTAACAATAACAGGAAGTCTCATCGTTTCTTACTGGTTTCCTTTTCTGCCTTGTCCGTCAATGAATGGGACTGATTAGTCCTGATAATGAATCGTTTCAGTCCATAATAGGAAAATCGAAACGTTTCTTGTGATATATACTAGCAAATCAGATTGATTATACATACTCCACAATCCCTAAATTTATAAACAAAGGGGAAAAAAGACTAGTAACTTACAGGTCTAATAAATGAGCTCTTTTGTGTTAACTTTCAAAAAGTTTGTTACATAGCAAAATCTTTTTCTGTACGTTTAACAAATATCACTTTATAATTCCCAAAGTATTTCAATGGTATGATAATTTTGTTCGTTTTTATCTGGTACAGAAAGAAATATTAGTAATCCTCATAGATGTCCGACCTCACAATTTCTTAAATATTTTCGAAATTAGATGGTAAATGTAGCATGTTTAATTTTTGAAGATTTGATACAGTACTGTTGTATTTCCCGTTTAAGTTTAAGAAAACGAATAACATTTCTTTGGAGTAGAACAATGAAGTGTTCTAACCACTTAGTCTGATATACAAAATTACACTTTCCCTGCGACAAACGCAAACTTTTTGTTTTGAATATTGCTCAAAATCTGTTTGTTTTGTACATACTTTAACAAACTCATGTTCTCGCTTATACGGTAAGTTGAACACTTTTTCGTTTTATAAGAATATTCGTCAAGATTAAAACGAATAGTTTGACAGAAATTAGGCGCCGAGTATAGAGAAATCATTATATGTGAAAATTATATTTGAAATAATCTCAGCGATTGAAATTTAAATAATTCCAACGTTTCGTCCAGCTATATATTTCTTTGATGATCTTAATTATTACCCTGAAGAAGTCCAGACATGTTAGCTGGACGAAACGTTGGAATTATTTAAATTTCCATCGCTGAGATTATTTCAAATATAATTCTCACTTTTTCGTTTTGTTTTTTATCTACATGTATCGCTGATATGTTTAGCAGTTTAAGCGGTTACATTATTATTGCAAGTCTAATCACTTACGTTGACTATTAAAAACACTGATAATAGGGTTTTTAAGTGAGAATAATCCTTTAATTGTCTTAATTAATCATACAGTGGATTAAAATAAGATTCTTTTGTGACCATTGATAGATTTTGGTTTTTTCCTCTATCTAATTCATATATATATATATATATATATATATATATATATATATATATATATATATATCCTTGTTCTTTTCTTACAGAGTTTTAGTGATCAGCCCACATTCATTGATCTAGCTGAATGTGTAGCTAAAACATCCAAAGGTGTGAATTCTTCAGGTAGGTGTTTTTTCTCTGCTAATTTATGTTTCATAACATTTCTTATGGAAAAACAGTGGTAGGTTCTTGAAGTTTTATTAATTTTACATTAATAAGGGTAATAATGGTTATTAGTTAGTGCAAGTTCCGAAAACGAATGATTAATAGATTACTCAGAATTTATGGGTAAAGTTATTATATTGTATGTTATCAAATAATGACCAAGTAATAATAACGAATGATTGCTTCAATTAGCTAGTTACTGTAGTTGAGTGCTTTAAGATGTTATGCGTATAAATATAAATTGATCGTCTAGATCATGAATATAACCGGTTCATATAACATTGTACACAATTATTTTTCACATATATTTTACGTGTTTGTGAATGAATTCATTGGCCCTGTTATGTGTGTAATAAGCGAACTGTCGAATCCTTGAGAATAAGGGATACAATAGACTGATTTGAAGGCTACATGTACATAAACTCAGTATCCAGTACTAACTTGATAATCAACGATGTAACACTACTTGATACAATAAAAAGGGTCGCAGCATTATTAGTTATTTACAGTGTTCACTATTATTGATGATCAAATATTTTCCTACTAACTCACAGTCAAACTATCTTGTTTTGATACTCTACATGTAAAAGACAACTTCGATTTCCTCAATATTGACTCAGTCAGTTAGCTGATAGTTTTATCTTCATTTTTTGAGTGAATTATGCATTTGCACAAATTATTCACATGTTGGTTCTATCATTATAACAGTGTTGACGTATGACTTACGATATACTAGTCCATCTGTCTGTGGAGAAATTACTCAGTAAGGTAGAAAACTGATCGATAAACGGATTACATCCATTCTGAATATATTAGAAATTCGAGCTCACATGGTCATTGTACAAATATATGTTTATACTATTTCATTAATGAACACTATGTAGTAAATATTGTCCTTCACAATGTTTAAGATCGATTTGGTTAGCAAATATGCAACCTCAACATGTCGATAATGGAACAAAGATAAGGCTTGCTGTTTTGTATATAGATATGAGGCCAGTATAGTTTGTAAACTTATTGTGTAGCTGTCAGATTGAAGGGGATTTAAGCTGTCATATCTATTATACTTGAAATTATTCCTATTCTTTGTCGTATCTGATAGTTATATCAGACATTTGGAGTACTATATTTTTATATTTACTTACTTGCAAGCTGTTGTCTAACACATAAACTGTCTCATATACGTCTTATTATTGAGATTTATTATAAACTGCTTCCCTTTTCCTTCTTTTTTATCACTCATGGCTGTGTTGTACATACACTGTAAAGTTTTATGTTGTTGTACTGTCAGATATTTTAGCTACATCATAGTATGAAATCTGATTAAGTACAGTAGAAAAAATATCCGCTTGCTAATTTGTTTTCTGATTGGCCCTAAAATGCCCTGGTACGGTGGGGAGAGTCAGCTCTCCCTCTTGAAATGCTCTCACATGGCCACGCGTATACAGCCAATGCCAGGGATGTCTCACTCACTGCCTCCTCGCGGAGGTATTGTTCACGAAATTGAAAAGACTAAAGGGAATGTTCGGGGAGTTGAAAAACTCTGATTCCAAACCAATGGTGCACATGATCTCCAGGATCCTGGAGGAAAAAGTGGCGTATGAACCAATCGTTGGTTGCCGGTTACCATGGCACTGCATCGCCTGACGTTGCTCCACTGCCTTGTGGATCAGACCTTAAGGTCTAGGGTTCGAGGTGTGGCCCTCTAACAAAACTGCCTACTTCAGTCTGAACACCCGGGCAGTATCACAGCCCACAGAAAAATCAAGTGACTTGTGTGACGCATATGTGTTCGGTGCCCCTTTGTACCAATATTTACGTGTTTGAATAAATAAATAAACACTGAGTTAGAGGTTGCTTGAGGAATGATAAGCGTTAAAGTCTAGATCATCGATCCTACAGACCAAATATAGGTGTACTTGTTCTTAATAATCGATAATCTGATCACGCTGACCCCAGTATAATCCAAAGATTTGTTTTTGAAGATGCAACAGTAATTTTCCAGGGTGTACAGTTTACCTTATTATATGTAACCCAACCTGTAAATCACAGTATTTACTAATGTATAGAATACTATTCATTGGGATATTTGTTTTCAAATAAAATGTATCAGTTTTCGCTCCCATTAACAAGAGAACTTATGAACAATATACGACATGACATAAGTGTGTAACATATTATTGTAATTTGCATCGCCACTCAGGGGAAGACAAAGAGCAAGGGAGAAGGCAAAATATATTCATTATGCCAACTGCAGAAGAAAAGAATGCCTTAGGTAGTTTTTAGGTTGTCTACCATTCTTTATAAATGAGATATTGACTTACAATCAGACGGTGTTATTAAAAAAATAACGGTTTAGTTTGTTTCACAGGTCCAGCGGAAAATCTACGACCAGAATAACGATTATATATAAGAATAACATGCGTTTGCATATCTGGTACTTGAAGTAATCAAAAGACTTTTACAGTTACTATACATAGTATTTGGTTTTTTGGTTCTAGTAATAAAAGCTTTGAACTTAACAACACACCATTTGTTTTTTTTAAACAGGTTCTGATAAGTACCATAGAACAGATGGTACCAATGTACAAAATTTCCCTCAGTTACCTGATATTGATAGTAAAATTACTATAACTGATATTTCTACCTATACCGATCCTACTGTTTCAAGTGGTAGCAGTATAACTGCTGTAAGGAAATTTCCGAAATCTACACACACCGTTGTTTCAGATTCAACATCACGATATTTTGATACTGATCACTGTTTACAGTCTGGATCCAGTTCGAAAATTTCATCTTCAAATGAACAATATCGCAAGGAAGAACAAAAGCATATTTTCGACTTTTTGAAGAATAATCTGTCTTCCAAGAGTAGACGACGTTTTCTAAGTGATTGTTACGATTTATCTTTAAATGTCGGTAGCAGTTATTCATACCGAAATTCAGACGTCTTACGTAATGTAAATCGTGCTCCAGTCCTAAACAATTTGATTATAAGTGGTGTCCACCCTAATCATTTACGGAAATATAAATCTGATTATGGTCTGCAAGCGTATGACAACAGTCAAACAGGGAATTTAATAATGAATAGTGATCTCGACCCAGTGGTTAATGCATCTGAGAAATCCGCACACGTTGCTAAATACAGTCTGTCTTCCTTTAGATCTTTGGAAGATGATGGTTATTTAGAAGATGATGAAAGTTCCACAGACTGTGCACATTCTCCGGTTACAGCATCTGATCCCGAATTAAGACATGATGTTTACCCCCAATCCAGTAATGCAGAAGACAGGGGTTTGCGCCAGAGATCATCTTCTATCTATGGACTTCCACATTATTTGTTACATACAGAAGTGTCAAACAAGAGATGTGATTCACCGAATTCTGATAATAATGTGAAAAATCCATCCATCATAAAAGGTCAACAAGGAAGTAGGGATGCGAATGTGTTTATGAACAACCCATTGCTTAAGTTAGATATGACATCTGTACGTAATCGAACGAAGCCAAATCGCAAAAGACATCACCGTTCATCATTAGATCGAGTAAGACATCGAGATTTATTCATGTACCTTTAATTTCTCAGTATACTTTCGTATTTTATTGCTATTTGACAACTATGTTTTTAGTGAAGCTTGGGTTTCGCGTTGTCTGAAGAGATGAACAGTAGCGTAAGGATTAAAGCGCTTTGCTTTCAGCTGCTTACGCGCAGGTTCCAACTTACTTTTATCTGGTCAGTCAAGTTAGTTTCATCAGCTATTTTCCTCCCTCCAGAAATTGACAGGTAAAAATAAAACTATCGACAAATTAAGCATCCTGAATACTAGTGCTAAGTTTTGTGCTTCCATTATTGGACTGTCTTATTCCTTATGGATGACTAGACTATCATCAGTTAATTCTGGACAAAGATTTGTAATCTATTAAGTATTTATATTACATCTATATTTACTACGGGATGCATATATTTATTTGGTGCCATGTATAACTACCGTTTCAGGTGTGGCTTAGTGCTATAACCTACAAAGTTGTTTCCAAATATTGGGGTTCTAGTCTTTAAACCATATTATCTCGTAACTGAAGATCACTTTAAAACCATTTATAATAAAAATCCCTGAAATGTTTTCTTTTGATTTCATAGTTACGGAGTGATCGTGATCGAGGGGCAGCAAACTCGCTTGTTAACCTGCCATAGTGACAAGTTAAATGATTACATTGAATTGATAAATATGTGCTTGTGTATGTACATATTCGTAAAATTGTGATATTTCATTTATCAATTACGTCTACGTATATGAAGGCATGTTTGCTTTTATATTTTATTTCTTCTTACTTCCAAATACTCACTCACTCATTCACTTTCATCCTAAAACAAGGAGATTCTTTAAGGTAATATACATATATATTTCATAAGAGCAAAATCACTTCACATTTTCCCACGTGATAAATATTTGAAAACAGATGTTATATTTCATGTTTACTATATACATTACCTACAACGATTTCATTTTGAGTGTTCTTTTCTTCTACATTTAGCTTATGGATGGTATAACTGAGTTTACTTGAATGCTGCGTGTTTTTAAATTGTATCTCAACCTGTAACAATCGAAACGCCATTTTTATTGATGTGACTGTTTATGTTTAGGCTAATATGAAGGGCGACTGAAATGCTTTTACAAAAATAAAGGCTGAACTAAACGAATAGTAAAATGAAATCAATATTATCAGGGTAGGTTTATTGTCAGTACTGATTATTTTTGAACACACAGGAGGGTTTGAATTTCCGTATTGTTAAGATTGCAGCAAATCTAATCATTGGTTCTGGATCATTTTTATGAAACATCAAAAAGTTAATTTAAGACTAATCCTACGACCTGCTTTAATTATATGTTTGACACTACAGATTGGTGTTTACCCTCCGATTCTACTAGGTTATCTCATTGCATATAAACCTAAATCTAATTAGCATCAGAAGGTTAAAATGCTTCAAGCACAGGTTATTTCTCATTTAATACTTACTGATAGATAAGGAACAAGTATGCTCTTGTATGAGTGTAATGTCATAAACAGCAGATGGTTCTACTATTTGTAATGTTTTTCAGAGACTTTATAAACCTTTTCACCATAATTTTGAAGAAAAAAAGGCTTGTTCAACGTAATACATGTTTAAGGAGATTTTCAAGTACACTGCTCAGTAATTTCTGTTTCTATGGGTTTTTCCAAATTACACGTGTCTATTTTCCTCTTTTTACGTAAATTTTCGATTTTCTCATCCACAGTAAGTTCCACATGTCTTGTGGATAGCTTCTTAATTACAGTTTTCTTACTAGACAGTTCTAAAGTGCTAATAAATTTAGCCTCTGGAGATATTTCATCCAAATGATGATTGATTAGTGAGCTATTTGGAATGGTACCTGTAACAAGAAATATATTGGATATAGTTGTATGCTGATAAAATCAAGTTAATAACAAATTTGTGTGAAAAGAAGCGATACTGTCTTCGTACTTAAATTCAGGTTACCAGAGAGAGAAGTTTCGATAATTAGTCCTGTAGTTGGAAGGAGAATGATCAGATTTGGGAGCGCAATATATACAAACAATGACGAATACACTTGTACTCAGAACTAACTATCGACTCTTTGGTCGTTGTACTTTTTTATATCGAACACCTGCAAAGCACTATGTTATGCATGAGTAACTACACAATATGACTGCTTGAATTCACACAATGCCCTCATTAAGAATCCTAGTAAGCTAATTAAAAGAGCGGGAATCCATATAGTTATGGAACACAATGATAGGCAAACATACTTTCAACATAATTCAACATTCTTCTGACAATAGCTGATCTGGAAACAATTTGGATAAAAATCGTTTAAAGAAAAGTACAATATTTCTACCGGATTTCGTATTCTGACCACAATTTCTGATAATGTTTGACCAAATCTAGTTGAGCAGCTAGAAATTTTATTGTAAAGTGAAGCAACTATCCACATACCTTCACTTGTTTCCCAATTTAAACAAGATTCTGGGTAGGTGCCAGCAATAAATAACAACGGGAAGTCTTTGGGGGATATGTATTACTGTTCAGAGACTTACCAGCTGCAAGGTGATAATGAGGTTTAGCGGGAGTCTTACTCAAATCCAACATGTCATCAATAACCTTTAATATAAAATAAAATCAATGTGTTTTTTTAATCCCTAATCTATAAGTAGAAAAAATAAATGTTAACTAAACATAACGGAAAGTTATTGCCAAGTAGTGTTGAATATGTTTTTTCAAGGATTACAGCTGTATGCATACTGTTTTATGCATGATGCCTCTTTTGAAGTGCAAAAACAACTAATCATACGGATCTCCTACTACGTAAAGCAGATAACAGAGTCAGTCAGTAACAACGTAGAATTTCATACGTACGTACATCAGTTCGAGCTGCCACACCATATTAGCACAGAGATGCAGTTGTCGATTCAAATCCCGTAGTGGTAGAGGTAGTAAGAGTACACGCAGTAATCGGAAAGATTAGGGTTTGGAGATGTTATCTAAAGAGTATAATACAGTGAAATAAATTTGGGAAGAGAAAGAAAAAGAGACAAGGAGGAATGAGGAGATTAAAATTTGAGAGAACACAAAGAGTGTATGCACTGCACAATCGACTGCCTACTAGCAGTGGTCTTGCATCTATGGAGTTTGTTACCAATCAACTGGTTAGGACATTTCATGCAGCTCAACTTGTCATTATCGGAAAGACAAGGTCTATGTTTCACCAAACAGCACGGAAACACGTACATAGGGAGGAGCAATCGTGATTTGCAACTACGGATGGGCGAACACATACCGGAATGGTTGCAGAAACAAATGGATCCCAATGATCAAATAAGATCACAGGATAGACAGACATAATCCTCCATTGCGAAACATTTGATTGAGACTGGTCATAAGGTTGACATCAAATCAGCATTCGTAGTGTTATACAAAAGCCTTCAAGGAAGTATACTAAGGTTCATTGAAGCCTAAGCCTTACGGAAATTGAAACCCTCTTTATGTTTCCAAAATCAATTTGTCCTTACGTTTAACCTACCCTGGTAATACTGATTTATTATCCAGAGTGGTAATCACATTTGTTTTTATGTGCTTTAACATTATTTTTTTTTATTTGTTACGGCTTACCTTTAACCTGTCTAGTTGACCTTTTAATTTTTATATATAAATGTTCTTAACAAGTATATGTGATCAGATTGTTCGGAATGTATTGCGCAAATATATCACAAAATTCTGATAAACTTCGTTTAATAAATGGATACCGACAAATAGATTAAATCTCGTAGTTGTGCATATATTTTTATGGGAGTCTGGAATTCAATACCCCGATTCAATTACCTAAACCACATTAAGTACAAACTCCCAAGATTGAAAAAAGAAAATCAAAATCACCATGATTGATAGTCCATGAAATCAAACATCCATTAGTCATATAAAATGTAAATAATTAGTGTAAGAATCAACTTACTGATGGACTTTCATAACCCCTTCCTACCATAAACAAGACGGACATAACATACCGTATTTGGTGATAAAGGAAACCCGAAGCCGATATGCTAATGCGACATAACTTGCAGTGACTAAAAAGTAGAATTTATTATTTATTTAATAACATTATTAAGGTAGAATTGAAAATATGTTAGTTGATATACAGGTACATGTATTGATATTGGACAATTTTGAATATACTTTTAATGATACTACTAAATTACTACTCCAAAATTTATTGAATTATACGATAACAATCGGTCGGCAAGTGACAAAATCTAGATACATATACAAAATGTTTGGTATTTAGCAAAATTAAGTTACCTGTTACGTAAAGGTGGGAACCCTCAGAAGGTAAGAATATTTCACGGGAGTTCGGTTTATATTTGAGGACGAATGAAACTTAAACTTGGGAAGTGTAAATGAAAAGGTTGTAATCATTTTGCCATAAATCTCTTCAGGACTGTGTTAGTTGTATTTACAGATAGTAGTAAATGACGGTAAATTAACTGCAAACCATGAAAGACTAAAATACTTAAGGGATATGTCACTCATAAATAACGACTAAATAAATCAAAATGGTACTGGTTGTTTACTTTCTCCTTACTTGTAAGTCCAAACAAATTGGAACAACTAAGCTCCAAGAAACAAGCGATACAAAACCACAGAATTCGAATAAAATATTCAATTCACATATTGGACATGTACACTAGAACTAGTTTGCTATTTATAGATTTTTTTAAAGTGAATTCTATTTCAGCATTACGCATAAGCTAGGTGGCGACTAGACATATACAACACATCTCAACTACTTCAGTATACAGCTGTTTAAATCTCCATCCATCACTTCTGACTTTTGCCAAGTGCTATGTAGGAGCATAACAATAATACAATTTAACCGATAAAAGGTGGATTATAGCCCAAAATAATTTCTATGAAATTGGCGTATCAAGACTTTCACTACAAACTCATTTCTCAAGTGCATGCGGTCACTATTAAAAACTACTTCAACTTTGCCACAAACTAAAGCACTGAGAAGAAATAAACGACGTTCATTGATTGGACAACATTAAAGCATCATGTTGTAAAACTACTGAATCGAGTTACTCAAAATATCGGGAAAGCAACTAAAAGAATCTGAAACTTACTGATCACACGAGTCTACATCGCTTATAACCACTTCGAAAATTTCACGTATGAAAGTCACAGTATCTTTTTCGATTCGGGAAGTACAGAAGTTTCTGAAATCATGTACTCCGACGAGCCGATTACCCGCGTCCATCATTGACTTTAAAAATACATGACGGAATAAAACCACTTACTTTAGTATCTAGACCGCTTTCAGGGAAATAATATTCGTAAGATCTTTTGCAACACGTAAACCTACAAGATTAATTTGAGGAATAACCAGTTTACCTTGCACTAAAGTCTGGTGAGATGGGAGACCAGGCTAGGACTCGGATGTCGCGTGGTAGATTTCTGTTCAACGCAGAAACGTAGTCCATTTCTTTGTCAGGAACATCTACAGAAGCATATACTACGTCGTCAAACTATCTAACCCTGACGCTCAGAGATACGAGAACCAGAGTCTTCAATAACTCCGACCCCTCTAGCTATAAGTGAACGCGAAACAAGAGAAACAACCTGAACGGCAGTAATATAAATACTGAGTATTGCTGAATTACTTGGCACAGCCCACTAACTCCTCTGTCAGTTCGTCCACAAACTGAAAAATTGCACTCGTTTCTGTTGAAATGAAATAAAATTAAACGTGCCTATTTTCAATGAGTTTGGATTTTTCCAGTGCGTCGAAAACACGGTCCATGACGGTTAATGCGAGACAACCTTGAGGAGCCAATCCACCGTAATTCCAGCCCAAATACGATACTTTTAACGCAATATGGCGCTTCTTATACCTACCAAATGATTGAAACGGAAGACTGACCTGTCAAAAATGAAAGGTTTGGTGACTTTTGGGACTTCATTTTCTTGTTTTTGAAGCTTTGATATAATATTTTCTAACTGTTGATTATATTTTAGTAAGCAAATAGCTTTTTCCTTTAAAGCCTTCAAATCCTAAATAGTAAAAACGTCAAATATTTACTTCGAAGTCAAGTTCGTCAAGTGATTTCAGTTTGCACTCCAACTGTTTTATCCCTGAGAACATCCCACTCATAATTCGCATCCCCAAATATGCGCTTATTCAGATGACCCTGGTCACGAAACAACTAAACAATGACACAGAACTTCAAATTCGCTGAGCATAAGTAAGCAGTCGATCAATCCTTGTGATCTGTGTTTAAACTGTTTTTTATATACAGGAGGTTTCACATCAGATTGAGCTACTTAAAAAGAATAGTGGTAGTTTTTCTCTCAGCTATAATTCGAGAGCGTTTCATAAAGGGCAGTGATTTTATACTTCTTGTGACTATCCTTGTTTTTGTGTAATTATTGCATCAAAATCATTCTTGGTCTAAATGAAAGTACTTTATTTAAGATTTGAAACCTTGCTAAAGTTTGTTTTGTGGTACCCTTTTACTCGTTGACTGACACTGTGTTCATACTGATTAGAATGGTTGGTAGTACTCACAAATGTGGACAACCAAACTGTTTGTTCTCTGTGGAGGAAGGAATGCGGTTTGATGAATGTAAAAATTAGTTTCATAAGATGTGCACCCGTTTAAGTCCCACCGCATACAAAAGATGTTCGAAGCCTAACTCACATTGACTTTGCATGTTTTGCTGTGCAAATAAGACGTTAATAATACAGGAGGCTATAAGCCTATTGACTTTGACCTGTAAGAAAACGCGCTTATAACACGAACACTGACAGTGAGGAATGTGTCAGTGCACTACCTGCTGTTACGAGGCGCCTCAAACACCCGACTGTGTTTGATGGAAAAGTGAAATCTCTGCTACCGTTAACTAGAAAAGAAGTGCCACCTGACATTAACATTGTTAATCATGCACCTCCAGTGTGAATTGAAGATCTGGATAAAACTGTCACCGTTCCAAATTGTCCCGGTGTCCTGAGTGTTGAAAAATGGACCACAGTATGGAGGAAACGAAACGAAAGGAAAAAAACTGTAGGCAGTACACAGCTGGTTAGTAAGCTATTTGTGGACTCCCATTGTGGGCCACAAAATGCACTGCCAAAGTTTGATAGTAAGGGAGAATTCCACCCAGGCATGAGTGAGAAGGAGAATCTAGTCTCATCGAATATTATTGTGAGCAAATTACTGGAGTCAAACGACCCTGGTCCCAAAATTAGACACGCGCATGATTTAGAGAAGCTAGGAGAATATTTCGTGAATATAGAAAATAAAGCCCTACGTAATAAACGCCTAGGACTATCAATACTTCGGCTTTTTAAGTCCCGTGTGAAGTCAAATTCCCTTGGCACAACTAAATTCTTCATAGTTAACGGAAGCGTTGTTGACAACCCTAATATTATTTGCAAAAAATTCAGCAAGCACTTCTCGCAATGTTACAAAACTGAAACTGAAATCTCTATCATTACATTCCCAACGCTGACGTCTAAACATTTATCGAAAATTGATTTTATAGCCTCCAACATCAAGCAGGCCATAGCTGCCATGAAAAAGTCTTATGATGGTTGAATCGACGGGATCCCTTCATCGTTTGTGAAATATGGTAGTAGAGAATTCTCACTTTTCAACCCATCTATAGATCGAATCGAAATTTTTATTATACGGAAAATGTGTCTTACCCATTCTTGAATATAGTATTTTAGTCTTCAGTAATTGCAGGCATAATGACCTGATTAAAATTGGAGGTGTTCATAGAATGTTCACTAAAACTGTTCTGGGATATTCCGACAACAAAGACTATCACCAAAGATGTCAACAACCCTCTCTGGATCAGACATATCAAATTAAACCTTGTCTTTATCTACCGGTTTATTAACGGTATTTCCTACTCTTAGTTATCCACCCCTTCCTACTCTATGATATCACCCCACAGTCTACGTAATAAGGAAAATATTCTAGTGATTCCAAGAACCCACAAAAACTTACACCAGAATTTAATCATTATTCGCTACTCAACCATGTGGAACAGACTCCCAGTGAACCTCCGTTGCAATGAAACTACAACCCGTATCAGAAGTCTCGTTGATGATTTTCTTTCCGAAAGTGGATTGTGTCACCTATTGAATATCTATGTATTTAATAATGATTTATACAAACAAGGTTCTTCACCACCTAATTGATCGAAAAGCGAAATGTAACCTTTGAAGCTTTTAACGTCTATTTTACTTTATTTTCTTTCTGTTCATATTAATATATAAGGTCTGTTTGTGTTCGTACCTATAATTATTACTGTTATTAATATCACCATTGATCACCCGACACATTATATGTTCTTTTTATCCCTTCTTATTCCTCTAAACATATTTAATTCCTGATTGTCTTTTGAAATTAATTGTGACTTTTATAGCATCGTTCTTATTTATCATTGTACAAATGTTTGTATTAATATCCGATATCACTCTGTAAGTTATTACATAAATCTACATGTATTTATTCGAGTGCACTTAAGGATATTTTCTATTTTTCTAAATTGCTGGTATACTTCAGAGGTCGATATTCATTACACAATTATTATTATCATGGTTGAACCCTTTCACTAGGTGTCCACTTTTCTCTCCCTTTTTTCCTTCTAAATAAATATTATTCTTAAGATTAAGAAATTTGTAATTAAGACAATTACTTGTGTTACATTTAAATTAACTTCCCAGACTCGTTTTATCCTCACTATGAAAATATTGATATTTCCTTTTCCTTCTCCCTTAACTGAGACTTTCATAGCATCACTCCAAACTATGACTGCACGAACATTTATTCTAGCGTCATATCTTACTGCAATAATAAGTTATTTTCTCTTAATCATTTTTTATTTTTGTTACTAATTTGACAATACATACATAGTCGTTTATTCTTGTTCTGTGTTCATAAACACGGCTATTAAACTATTTGCATATTTCACGTCCCCTTTATTTCTATTCCCTTATTTTCTTCCTTTCGTTCCTTAAACTCAATTCAATATTCTTCTAAATTACACAGAACCTGATTTATTATTATTATTACGCTCTTTTTTCAAATATGACGAATATAATGCTAACATTATTGAAACTTGTGTATCATTGCATTTTTGAAGAAACCGGCAATAGTTTCTTCACAACACTTATGTATCCATAAGATCTCTGAATAATAATATTCGTAGTATCTAACCGGATAACTTTGGGGGAGTTCAGGCAAAAAAAACTGGTCAGAATGGATAAAAGGACCGAGGACAATGTTGAATCTCGACCATGCAGACTCCCTAAGGTACTACTAGGGTCGGAGAAGCAACGTGATCTCCTGTTATGTAGCGCTCGTAGTCACGACAACTCCGACATCCGAGTTAGACCTGATATGTCTCTTGAAGATAGAATAAAAAGGAAAAAAGGACTAGCTGAACTAGAAACCCGTCGACAAAATTGTGAGGAAAATCTCCGATTAGTGGGTTTTTGGATAGTCAGGTCTGGGAAACGATTGCTACCAAGGCCTGTGTGGATAGGCCGTTCTACTAAGGAGTTTTATACTCCAACGCTCGTTGTCTAAGAAATAAGTTCTACGAACTAGAAGCATTAATGGACAGACTAAAGCCACTCATTGTAGTAGTGACAGAAACTTGGTTAGTCCATGACTTAGACATCAATCCAGAATTATCCGGACACCACTACCTTAGGGGTGATAAATATAGATGTAGAAAAGGAGCTGGCGTCCTTTCATATATAACCAATAATATAAACATCCACTCCTCTGCTAGCGAATCCAATTATGGCGGTACTTGTGAAGTCATTAGCTGTGAATTGGCTACCGGATATGGCACATCTATGCTCTGTGTCATCTATAGCAGCCAATTCTGCTTAGCTGATGACTTTATTTTAGAGCACATTCGTCCTTGGAGTGCAAATAACAGATGTTTGATAATAGGGGACCTTGATGCACATGATATTAGTTGGACTAAGATGACCACGGAAGTATCTATAAACGTCTTTGATAGTAGGTTCGTGATAACAATAATGGAGCATGTATTAGTGCAGCATGTATCCGAACCCACACGTTTTGGTGCTAAACAAGGTTCTCTTTTGGACTTAGTAATCACTCATGATACTGAGGATATGGTCGACTTAAATATTCTTCCACTGTTGATGAACAGCGATCACGCTGTTTTTTTATTCACGTTTAAAACTAGGGACATGATATACGATCAGGTTACACCTCACCCAAATGTGTGGAGGGCTTTCTTCATGACAGTAGGCAAAGAGTAAGGGCTAATGGAGCGCTCTCCTCGTGGGTACCTGTAAAAAGTGAAGTTCCCAAAGGCACAATTCTCGGTCCTTTTCTCTTTTTGCCTTATGTGAATGAATTACCAACTATAGCGAAATCATCCGTCCTACTCTTCTCTGATGACATAAAGATTTGAAGACCCATACACAGTATGTCCGATAAGACAGTATTACAGAATGATCTTAGCTCATTGGTGGCATGGTTGGGCAGGTGGTCACTAGAAGTAACTCCCAACAAGAATGTCGTGATGCAAATAAATAACTATGATGATTCGTATCACTACACAAAATGTGGATTCGTGCTACCGAAAGTAAGAAACTATCAAGATTTAGGAGTCATATTAAGTAGTGATGTCAAAACCATCAGTCACTGTAAGCCTGCTGCTGCGAAAGGTTATAGTCTATTCGTAGGTCTTTCCAGTACTTAGATGATGAAATTCCGACTTATTATACGGGATTTACGTGCGACCACATTTAGAATATGGGATTCAAGCAGCGAGTCCTTGTTTTAAGTGTAGTGACCTATTTTTATCAACAGAACGCGATCGGTGTAATGGAAACAATTACTGTTATAACCAACTGTGCCAAAGATTGTTTTACCGTACTTGTTTGTTTAACTGTACTAAGCACATACATTCTTCCGTTGTTCGTGACCCTGCACGAACTCACGTTCGCTCATCAGTTCCACTTGTACTCGGTATTACTTCGATACCAGTAGATCTCCAACAAATATATCTTGCTACAACCTTCAATTGCCTTCTGATTTCTGGTTTACTCGGAGGTAGTGATGATCATAGTCAAACGTGACTCGACGCCCACAAGTATGAAGCAAACATGCTAAAAAGAGTCCAGCGACGAG